GGGGGAGTTGGTCGCATAATGGGATGAAAGGCGCCTCTTAATTGTCGATACTGGGAGTGTGAAGATGAAGGGTTTGGAGTCTGGGATTATTTGTCGTGATGGTAGAAGAGAGGGCGATCAAGGTACTTCGATATCAAGTACGTACTTGGATACCTTAGGGTACCCCATTCTGTACCTTTTATGCGGTGGCTTTCAGAGTACCTTATAAGTACGCGTGTCTTGCGTCTCTTCGCATGAAAAGCCAAGTAAATAGAGGGTATCACTACTACATAACTTCCCTTGACTACAGGTACCTAAACGTAAGGTAAGGTACCTACCGTATTTACCGTATCCGTATATCCTCTGGAGTACCTTACCTGGTACGAGTACAACCAGCAATGTGGCTCGTACCTTGCCGAGCGACTGGCGTCGAGATGATGACGCGTGAGATTCGCAAGCTCCAAAGCTCCTTCTTCTGTTAACGTACCCTATGTCATTCGTACCTAAGGTATACATAGACCTGGCCCTGTCTGCCACTGCCACCGTCATCGTCACGAGCTTCTCTTCCATCCGTCACGGCCTCGTGGTCAAAGTTTTCGAAAAACGTCCCCATCTCCAAGTTCAAAAACGACACCTCGTATTGGTGGTTCTCATTCTGGCCCAGTCATGTGCCCTGCTCAAGCATTATCCTGTCTCCGTCATCGATAGCCCGTGGAGGTTTCGGCATGCCGAGAAGATCAGAAGACGAAGACACGCATCTTTTCTGTCCAGCGCCCTCGTTCCTCGTCGAGTACTCAATTATCATCGCCGATATCACTTTCAAGACCTCCCCGGCCAACGTCGTTTCAATCAAATCGAAACGAAAGACCACGCGGAGGGCTAAAAATAACGAACGACGCACACGACCGCCAACGAGCGTCTCGACTTCGTCCTGACCGCCACCTACACCCATCCGTCGACCCCTGACCTTGGCTTCTGATCGTCCAAGGTCCCCCTGTCGATACCGACAACCTGGCCCCCTTCAGGCGTTGGCGGTTCCTCTCCCCGCATTCATCCCTACGTCCGAACCAACGACCGCTTCATCCCCTGAATCCTCTCCGATTTCTCCTGCCCCAACCCCTCCGTGACCACCTCCGCCACCGCTACCGCGAGAACCTCATCAGCTTCCACCTCGACACCCTACCCTACTACAAACACCGCCTACAATCCCGCCTCTACCGCTTCATCGTCCACCGCCAACGAAGGCGCGCCCAGAAGACAAACACCCTCAGTATAGTCGGCGCCCTCTCCCTCGTCGCCCGTCAAGGCCGTCGTCTGCTCTTGGGACCCCCCGTGCCATCAAAGCGATCTTCTGGACATGCGAGGGCCGCGCCCGGCGCTTCTTTGAGGATGTCCCACGCCATGCCCGGCTTTGGCGGCGGCTTTAATGGCGGCGGCGGTCGCGGTAGGGGTGTGTACGGCGATACCAATAGCAACCGCAACAGCAGCTATGGCGCCGCCGCCGCCGCCGCCGCCGCCACCGAACCCCAGCCCACCGCTGGAGAGAGAGGCTACCGTCGCAGGAAGATCGCCGCCATGGCCAACAACGTCTACCGAGCCGGCGCCTCTGCCGTGAACGAGATCAAAGAAGGCTACGCCCACATTCCACGCGCCGGAGAATCGGGGTTCGAGGACTTCCACTCCAGGATCTCCATCCCCGGCTCCTTCCCCGACGTCGCCATCGCCACCGGCGGAGACAACCAGCTGGTCATATTCCCCTCGTATGCGAAACGTCATGTCAAGCGGCACTGGACCCTCGAGCCCGAGTCCGAGAACCAGACCCCTACATCCCAAGGCAGTCTTCGCGACGAGGACTACTGGCGCAGGCAGTGGGAAAGGGACCAGGACGAAAAGGCCGTCGTCGACGTCGATGTCCGGGGCTGGGTCTACTCACCCCACAGGGGTCCCATGACGAGGCGGAACCGCGTCTTGATCGGCCTCGCGCGCCAGCTCAGTGGCGTTCCCGCCCCACAAACCGACCCGGGGCGGCCTTTGGGAGGAGATTCCGACTACGTCAGCCTTCGCGAGTCTCTGGAGGAGAAGAGAGAGCGAGAAAACATCGCTGAGCAGGCGGCCGAAATCGAAATGAAGGGGCAGGAAGAGAAGCGAGTAGCAAGTCAAGGTGGCTACAGCGAGCCGCCCGAGCCCGACAGTGAGGGCGAGGGCGAGGGCGAGAGATCAGCCGACCAGGACCGCCACATGGATCTCACCCCGGGTCGGTTGTCCCGACGTCCCAAACTTGCCGCCGTGTCAGCAGCAGCGGCAGCAGCGGCAGCGCGGCCGCAAGACGGGCCGGCGCGCGAGATGAACGATGCCGAGCTCGCCGTCGCCAACGCCAACCTGATGGCCAGGATCGCTCCCTTCCTGACCACACCCCTGGTCGACCTCCCCATCACCGTCTTCTTCTACAACGACGACAAGTCGGCCTCTCGCACCGTCCAGACCAACGACGCCGGGCGCTTCGTCATCCGAGCGCCCCTGGACTTCATCCCGACCCAGGTCCGCGTCTTGGTCAACGAGGACCTTTCGGCCACCCAGGATGTCAAGCTCATCGAGCCTTACGGCGTCAGCTTGATCAGCGACATCGACGACACCGTCAAGCGGTCCAACATCTCCTTCGGCGCCAAGGAGATCTTCCGAAACACCTTCGTCCGCGAGCTGCACGACTTGACCATCGACGGCGTGCGAGAGTGGTACAACAAGCTGCACTCCATGGGCGTGGCCTTCCACTACTGCTCCAACAGCCCCTGGCAGCTGTTTCCCGTGCTGGCCAGCTACTTCATGATTGCCGGCCTCCCCCCGGGCTCCCTTCACCTCAAACAATACAGCGGAATGTTACAGGGCATCTTCGAGCCCGTCGCCGAGCGGAAACGCGGCACCCTGAATCGGCTGCTCAGGGACTTCCCCAACCGGCAGTTCTTGCTCGTGGGCGACAGTGGAGAGGCCGACCTCGAAGTCTATACAGGGTTGGCGGCGGAACATCCGGGCCGCATCCTTGCCATCTTCATCCGAGACATCACGACGCCCGAGCAGACGGGTTATTTCGACGCCTCCTTCGGCGCGGGAGACGCTCGCCCAAGACCAAGACCAGTGCTTCCAGACCCTAGAGATGCGGTACGCAGCCGTCCAAGCCCTCCGCCTCGGGCACCGGCCCAATCCGCCGCCGGGCCTGCCATGGGCGATCTGATTGATTTTTCCGAGGAGCCCGAGACGACGCCGGTTAGCAATAACACGGCCACGCTCTCCCAACTAGAACTACTACAGCCGCGGCACTCGGCTAGTACGGGTGATCTCCTCACCAAGAGAGCACCTCCGCTACCAGCAAAACCGGCCTCCCTACGAAGCGCATCGTCGACGGAACAGGTACACCGGCAAGATACTATCGGCCTCGGTGTCGTCTTGAGACGGGTCAATTCGAAGGGCGTCCCGCCGCCTGCGATTCCCAGGAAGCCACTCGGCGGCAACAATAGCGGCCGCTCGCATCATCCCCTCTCCCAGACGCAAAACACGTCCCAGCAGTCATCGGCAAGTAGTGACGAACGCGCGACGTGGCCGGCCGTGTCTCGGACGACCGGTGACTCCGCGGGGTCAAGACACAATAGAAGCCATCCACCCCCTCCTCCTCCGCCACCACCTCGACGTCGCGAGACGCCTCCATCATCGGGTACGAACGGCGGCAACACGTCGACCCCGCGCACCTTGCCCATTCGCCAGCGCGCGCTATACAACAATCATTACGACATGGACGCCGACTACGACCGCGGCCACGACTACGGCCAGGACCACGACTACGACCACGACTACGACCACGACTACGACTACGACACGGTGCGGCCATCTTCGGCACCGCTCAAGGCGTCGTCGTCCTTTGCGTCGTCGCGGTCCTCGGGTCTCTCCTCGGGAGGATCCCCGCCGCTCGGGGGGCCGAGCGGCACGCAGAACAAGAAGGTCGAGGTGTGGTTGCGGCGGCTGCAGCGCGCGCACGAGACGCTGGCGGCGCAGGGGGTCGCGCTGTATACGTGGCGGAAGGGGGACGATGTCGTTGCTGAGGCGGTGGGCCTCGTTGAGGACGCGGTGAGGAAACGAAGGGGCGGTAAAGGAGGGCGGTAAAGGATTTGGGGTTTTATGATAAGGACGTAAGTGAGGGTCGTGAGTGAGGGTCGTGAGTGAGGGTTGTGACGAAGGGAGGTGTCTCTGCTTATGAGCGCCGTGGTTGGACCGGAGGTGACGGATGCGGCTGCTCGACGCCATTTTCTGCTATTTGTGGCGCAAACCAATGAATAGTACGTACTTGGTAGCCTGCAACCGATACGCGTATCGGATTACTAAGGGGGTTCCATTCGGTTGTTGACCGCAAGTCAACCGGCAATCTGGGAGCCAACAAGCCCCTGGGAATGCAACGGTAATCAGGACAGATGGTCCGGCATTACTTTGTAGCAGCCCAAGATGTACATGTAATTATCTGAATTACGGTAGGTCGTTTGTACTCCGAGACCAAGGCCCAACACCCCCCGCAAAGGAGGCATATATTTTGATTATTTTTACGGGTCTGGGAAAGTCGGTTGAACCGGACAACATGGGAGGGAGGTTACACGGGTAGAGCGGTGGAACCTTGCGAATGGTGAGACGAGTCGTCAGGAGCTCGAGACGACGCAATGGCATTGAGGAGGAGAGGTGACAACGGAGTCCAGGGGTAGCAAGATGTCGCTTCCGCGGGTTTCATGGCCCGCAGACGCCGGGTACATGCCGGCGCAGACGTTTGCGCCCCCTCCCCTCCCCCCTCCCCCCTCCCCCCTCCCTTGGCGCTTCTGGGTTGCTTGGCGAGGATTCTGAAAGTCTTTGGTGGGTTGGACGGGAGGTGGATTACCAAAGGTGTGACAGTGACAGGTGTGACAAAGAAATTGTCCGGGATGGTTTGGTTTTGGCGTTAGGGTTCGGGTTCGTTTGATCTCCAGGGTCTCAGGGGAAAGGAGGACAATCGTGGGACTTTTTTTATTTTCTTCTTCCTTTTCTTCTTCCTTTTCTTCTTCTTTCTTCCAACGTCCCGAGATGACGGCGGTTGGTGCGCATAGAGGGGTCAAGTCCTGAATAGTGGGGTAAGTGACTAAATACGTGTAGTGTACAAGCGGGGAGCTAGTCCATAGTCTCCACGGACGATGACGTCGGCGGGGCGGATGGGCAGTGGCAGTGTGAGAGAAGAGGAGAAATCTGAACAAGTTTCGAGGAGGGGCAATTCAAAGTAAGGTAGGTACCCAAGGTAGTTCTACTGCCTGTACTTCCTAAGGTACGTATACGTGTCGTGTACAGGACACAGCATTGCGACAAGTTGGCCAGTGGACGATAACATGGACAGAGTATAAAGTAGGGTACATGCGTGCAGGAAAGGAGACTGCGCTGAGCTCAGCGACTATGTATATTGTCTGTGATAACATGTACCCGACTTTGTGATTTCCAATGGCTACCTAAGCTACGGAGTGCTCGATGTGCTGCAGGAAGGAATCCATATTGTCAGCTCTTACCTAACATTCAAGTGCTCCTGTTGCTGAGATGAATAATTCCAATGGACATGGGACGAGCTCTGAAGTGGAAGTCCTGTGCTACAGGTACGGCCAGCCACGATACAGTTACAATGTACGAATACGTGAAGAAAGAAGTGTACCTGTACCGGACAGGGCGGGGTTGCTTGGTTGCTTACTCTCTCCCCAGTTCCCCCTCCAGAGTTGAAAAGCCAGACTTTCCCCTCTCCTCCCTTCTGCCCCTGCGTTTCTTTTCTTATTCCCACCTCCCATCTCCCCATTCATCACCAATTCTTCGTCTTCTCACCAATTCTTCGTCTTCACACCCAACCCTCCCCGTCCCTCGAATTCTATAGTCCGTCGCCATCGCCCCGGCCTCCCCCCATCAGCCAAGATGCCCATCGAAATCCCCAAGGCCAGCAGCCTGCTCGACCTCTTTTCCCTCAAGGGCAAGGTCGTCGTCGTCACCGGCGCTTCCGGCCCCCGCGGCATGGGCATCGAGGCCGCCCGCGGTTGTGCCGAGATGGGCGCCGACATCGCCATCACCTACTCGTCTCGCAAGGAGGGCGCCGACAAGAACGTGGCCGAGCTCCAGCAGCAGTACGGCGTCAAGGCCAAGGCCTACAAGTGCAACATTAGCGACTACGGCTCGGTGGAGGCCCTCGTCAAAGATGTCCTTGCCGATTTCGGCAAGATTGATGCGTTTATTGCCAAGTACGTTTCATGTTCTTTACTTCTTCTTTTTTTTTTTCTTTTCCCTCTCCTTCTTCTCCTTGTTCCCCTTCATCTCTTTATCCTCTTTATTATTTCTTACACTTGCTGACACCCCCCTAGCGCCGGTGCTACCGCCGACTCGGGCGTCATCGACGGCTCCAAAGAGGCCTGGGACCACGTCATCCAGATCGACCTCAACGGCACCGCCTACTGCGCCAAGGCCGTGGGCGCGCACTTCCGCGAGCGCGGCACCGGCTCCTTCGTCATCACCTCGTCCATGTCCGGCCACATCGCCAACTTCCCGCAGGAGCAGACCTCGTACAACGTCGCCAAGGCCGGCTGCATCCACATGGCCAAGTCGCTCGCCAACGAGTGGCGCGGCTTCGCCCGCGTCAACTCCGTCTCGCCCGGCTACATCGACACCGGCCTGTCCGACTTTGTCGACAAGGACACCCAGGACATCTGGCTCTCCATGATCCCCATGGGACGCCAGGGCGATGCCAAGGAGCTCAAGGGCGCCTATGTCTACCTCGTCAGCGATGCGAGCTCGTATACCACGGGCGCGGATATCATCGTGGACGGTGGATATGTCTGCCGATAGGCGGGCGGGTCGTGCGGTGGCCGGTGGGGGGAGGAGACGAGGGACCTTACCTCCAGAGAACATGGCGATGATATGATATATCTCGCTTTGATGTCTTTCGAAATGGGACAGACATGTAGAGTTCTTGAAAAAAAGAATAGGGACGCATCAATGTATGCGCTGAATCTCGAATAGAGTATATTTTTAAGTGCTGATTATCTTGTATTGTCACGACTCTCTAGGTGAGGAAGACCGGTCTACTATACGCACACAATGATAGATCTCTTTTCCTCTCTATATCAAATACTTGGTATACTCTGCTTTATAAACAAAAAGAAAGTTAGATGCAAGTGCAAAAAGAGTTCGGGACTCGGTGTCGTATGTCCCTACATATCTTGTCGTCGGGGTTGTCAAAAAATCGCTGCCGGTACTCGGATCGCGTTTCGAACTCGGTGCCAGTCGGTAACCTCTCTGATAACCGCCAGCGCGTTTGTCCTGAGTGCATTCCACTGCACCGCCTTCGAGCTGGTGATGGCCTTTTCCCAAAGGTAAGCTTAAATACCCCAGGGCCGCTCCTCCTCTGCCTTCCTAGAATGTGTGCCTGGGCATTGGGGTCGCGTGATCCCAAGAGTCGAGGTGTGCCCGGCGGTACGTATTCACGTTCGCATCGCATTCGCATTCGATCGTGCACAACTCAGGGCCTGCAAGTCAGATATAACGCAGTTGATGGACATAAATCGAGGCACATTGTCCAACCGCGCAGTCAACGCATAGACACATCCATCTTCTTCCTTCCTCCGGACCCAGCGACCTGCAGTCATAATGCTACGAGATCACCGACAACTGTCGACTGTTTTTGTGTAAACCTACGAGATGCGTATGGAAGCAGCGAGGACGTCCATGCTCTGGGGAATTCACGCATCGTGACGGGGTTCGGGCATCGTACGATTCGTTACAGTTCGCGGACGGCGCGGTTGCAAAGCGGAGGGACGTTCTGCGATAGAATAGGAGTCAATCTGAGTATTTGAATTCATCTACAGAGAGAAGAAGAATGTCCACAGAGTAATGGGATATGGATGAAGTTGAATCAGAGTTGGGAAGACGTGAAAATAACTCCCCCCGCAATCCTGACGGAAAACGTCGACACGTCGTATTCGGAACCCAAGTTTGTCCTTGTCCGAGATGCGGGGATGGCTTCATCGAATACGGTACGGTACCCCTTGTACTTACGCTTACGTACACACCAAAAACCAGATGACTAATGGGATCATCTCCCGGAGACGTGCATCCGTTGGCCGAAGTCAGGAGACTCGACCAATCACACATCAAGCCTCATTTTCAAGGTTCCCTTCAATCTCCCCGCACTGAATCCTCAGGGACCCTTTTCGTCGCTCCTCGGGCAGGTGACCCCGAGGGGCCAGGGAGCAGGGGGAAGACGCGACCCGTCAGTTGTCTTTCCGCTCGCCTCCTCTCCATCTTTGTTTTTTACCCGTTCTTTCTCTCCACCCTTCACCGTTCAAGCAACACTCAATATTCGACATCTCGCATAACTCCCACTTACAGCGCAGCGCATCGCATCGCACCATCGCATCGTATCGCATCGTATCGCGTCGCGTTGGATCGCATCACATTCCGTCGCATCACATTCCGTCGCATCACATTCCGTCGCATCACACCCCGTCGCATCACACCCGGCGCATCACACCCGGCGCATCACACCCGGCGCATCACACCCCGTCGCACCGCCGCCCATCATGGTTTCAACCCGCTCAACCTCCCGCTCCGCCACCGCCGACCCCCTCACCTCATCCACCCCCGACCCCGAAGACCTCCTCTCCCCAAAGCCGCAACGCACCGTCAAGAGACGCAAATCCCCCGCCGCCGCCTCCTCCTCCGCGTCTCCGCCCCCCCGCGCATCGCCGGCCCCGTCGCGACCATCAGCCAAGCCCGCCCCCCAACCCCAACCCCAACCCCACACGCCATCCCGCCTCACCCTCCTCTGGATGGCCATCTCCCTCCCCCTCGTGGCCTGGGACACCGGCTACGTCCTCCTCCGCCCGCACACCATGCCGGGCGGCTCGCTGCACCGGCCCCTCTGGACGCCCTACGCCCTCTACGGCACGGTCGACGGCGTGTACGGCTTCAAGGCCTGGGATGCCCGCGACGGATTCACGGCCGCCCAGGGACTGCTGAACCTGTTCGAGTCGGCTATGTATGTCGTCTACTTGTGGCTCGCGCTGCGGGGGCGGGGGGGTCGGTTGACGTCCAGGCCGGCGGCGGCGGCGGCGGGGAGGCAGAATGCGCTGGGGTTGTTGGTCGGGTTTAGTGCCGCTGTCATGACGCTCAGCAAGACGGTCCTTTACTGGGCTAAGGAGTATTTTGCCGACTTTGATAATATTGGGCATAATGATGCCGTTACCCTTTTCTTCCTTTGGGTTATTCCCAAGTGAGTTTTTTTTTTTTTTTTTCCTTCTTCTCTCTCTCGCTGTCTTTGCTTTTCACGAGACGTATCGACTAGAGCATACTGACGGGGGTTGTCTTCATTACCTACCTAGCGGCGCATGGCTTGTCGGGCCCACTTACCTGATTTTCTCCATGGGCCGCGAGATTCTCGATCGGTTGACTCTTTCTGTGGCGGTCAACAAGTCGGAGTGAGAGTATTGGTGCCCTTTTGAGTTGCGACGCTGGACATGGTTTAAATTTTTTTTTAATTTTTTTTCTTTTCTTTTTTCGACAATATGACATTAGGCGACTGGGACCAAGCACGACGGACGACGAGCACGGCCTGTTTTTAATAATAATGCGGTACATACAATAGGCCTACCTATACAGACACAGCCTGCGATGCGCTCTGCTGATTGTCGGCCCTCATCCTGGGTTTTTGTCCCACAGCAAGATGGAAAGTGTGTAATACAACATCGCTGCTTTTTGGATCACTATCATTCTTCTTTTTGCTTTTACCTTCCATTAACGACCGGCGCATGAAAGACGGCAAGCCAACTAACCGAAAACAGTCGCTGAAGCATCGCGCTTCTTCACCTCCAAGAACCTTAAGGAGTGATGGGGTATCGGGTATCAAAATCCATGTGACCATAAAGAGGCGGGGGAGAGAGACGAATACAAAAGAGGGTTGGTACAACGAAGGGAGACTGTCGAGCAGTCTGTGGTCGACAGGACTTTTAGGGAAGCTGTGCAGGGGAAAGAAGGAGACATTGCCCAGCATGTATGAACCGGTAGGTCCTGGAGGTATCACATGTTGGATGATGTCAGGGGAGGAAGAAAAGAACGGGGGAAAAAAAAAAGAGAAAGCTAGAAGACGTTAGCTCTTCGTCGTGGTAGGCGCAGGTCCGGGACGCTTCAACCCTCCCAAATCGTGAAACTGCTCCCACACAGGGCGAATGTCCTCGTCCTCCTCCAGCGCCGGCGTCAAATCGCAACCCATGGTGCGCGACCGGGACGACGACTGGATCTTGTAACAGTGGTGTCCTCCTCCTCCTCCTCCTCCCCCTCCTCCCACCAGCGCCATGTAGGCGTGTACGTAATCCGCACTCCCCTCACCACCCACCATCCCCTGAACTCGACCCTCCATATCAGGCACAAGACTCCGAGGCCGGGACGAAGAAGAGGAGAAGGAGGAGGACGAGGACGACGACAACGACGAAGGGGTCATGGCGAGGTGTTCGGGTGGTGCCCGCGTCGGACCAACGTACGAACGGGCCTCGCGGCGACGGGAACGCGTCGAGGACATCGGCTTCGTCGTCTCGGAACTGTTCAGCTTGGGGGAGAAAGCACCCGTAGAAGCCTGATACAGGCTAGCGGGGACGGACGAAAGCGGCGTGTCGGTCGTGACTACGCTCTCCGGGTTCGACGGCGCAGTGGAATACGATTCGCCCGAGACGCTGCTCTCTGCGGTCCCTGACGGGGGCGACTCGGCTCCCAGCTCCTCCGGGTCGGCGCTGACCGCGTGCGTCCCGTTCCCGTAGCCGTGGACTACGATCTCGTGGTAAGCCGGAGTGGTCTTGGTCTTTCGCGCTGGCGAGGACGGTTCGGATGCTTGTTTTTGGCGGCCCTTGAGGAGGGTCAGCGAGCGTCGGAGCGTGTTGTTGCGGGAGAGGGAGAGGGAGAGGGAGAGGGTCCGGCTCAGGCTGCGCGTGCGTTCGGGAATGCTGGGCGAGTTGGACGACGTCGTTGACCGCTCTGCCGGGGTGTTTTGGTGCGTGAGGGCGAAGTAGTCAATGTCCGGCTTGATTTCGATGACGCGTGTGGGGGTGGCCTGGATGCTCCAGGTGCGTTCCGGCATGGAGGGCGCCCGGCTGGGGCGCGGTTCGGCCGTCTTGGACTGGATGAAGCTGCCTAGCCTCACCTTCTCGCCTTCCATCCACGGGGCCAGATTTTCGGTCGATACGGCCATGTTGTATTCGACGTTGCGGTCTCTCACCTCGGCCGGGATGCGTGTGCAGGAGCGCAGCGCTTGGTAGACCGAGTATATGAATATCCAGCGTGCCTTGCGGGCATCGAGGAGGTCGATCTTCTCGTGGCGGTCGCCTCGGCCGGGGGAAAGCGGAACAGACAGCTCCTCGAACCTCCGGTACGCCTGGACGAGTTCGTTTTGGAGGATGCCGTGCTTGCGGTGGTTCGAGGCGCGGGTGAGCGCCGCTTGAGAAAGCAGTCGGCTGTCCGGTCGCTGCTTGTCCTGCTTGGTCATGACCGAGAACCACGCAAACCGACGGGACGGGGGAGGCGTGGATGGAACATCGGGGAGCAGGGGTAACGGGTGCGGGAGGGAGTCGTACCGGCACCGAAGATCGAAGGAGTGCACCGTCTGCATGACGCAGATGCTTCCCCGGGCGAGAGGCGGCGTGGTCTCGGCCGGCGTGAAGCGTTCGTCGACGAGGAGCTCGTAGAGAGCTTTGAAGTCGTCGAACATCCGACGGTAGATCTCGGGCTCGAAGATGGTGCTACGGGCATCCGTCGACGGCGGGGGATAGTACCCGAGCTTGGTGGAATAGAAAGCGAAAATGAAGGAGCGGAAGCGTTCGAGGTGTGCTCTTCCGCCCGGAGGAAGCCCGAGGAAACTTTCGGAGAGCTCGTCTTGAAGAAATGTGCGCAGCATGTTGCCGGCTTTGCTCAGTCGCAAGTCCATCTCGACACGGGCCCGGCGTATCAGCCTCTTGGAGACGGAGCTGATGAGTTGGTATTCCGGGGTCGAAAAGAGGTGCTCGCTCATCCCGGCACAGTGAGCGAATGCGTTGATGAAAAGATCACGCAACTGGAAGACCTCGGCCAAGCGTAGCACGGCTAGCGCATGGGTCGGCTCGTTGCCGATGTTCAGGTAGCCCTCGTCCTCCAGGTAGTCCATCAGATCGGCGACATGGTCGGCGTCGTGGGATCTGAACTCGGACATGAGGTTAAGGAGTGCGACCAAGGCGGAACCCAGGTATTCGCCGACCAGGGACTTGCGGAAGACCCACGCGAACAGGTTTCGGACCGCGAGGTGGTAGAGGAACGCCTCACGCCTGTCAGCTCCTAGGGGCGGGGGGATGAAAAGGTCGACTCTCTTTGTCGGGTTCAGGCGGTGCCAGAAGTCCAGGTCGTTCAACGGATGATGGCCGGGCATCGATCCCGGAGAGCACGCCTCGGGCACGTCGTGGGCAATGAAACGCTGGATCAGGGGATGGCATTTGGCCGCCAGCAACGGGCCCATGGGTAGCCTAAAGGTGGCTCCTCTCCGTGCTTGACCCTTACCACACAAGTGAATAAAGCAGTTGCTGTGTGGAAGCCACAGCTCCGGGTCCTATACAAGAAATATCGGGTGAGTTGCTCGTCCATTGCTCGTCCATTACTCGTCCATCAATGCCACCAAACGTCACTGTAGACGAGAGAGGCCCAGCGGAGCAGTATAAATACTCACCCTCCTCGTGCAATCCCAGTCAGCAGAAGACCGAGCCGCGCCATCCCATCTCTTCACCCGGGGGAGAAGAGAAGCTCGGCCTCCCGTCAAGGAACCACATTGTGGTCGTGAGGACCAGCTGTGAGCTCGAGACGGCATGGTATGGGTCTGGCTCATGCTCGTCGGGCGTCGGTACCCAGGGGGCGCGGTTGATACCGACATGGTCGTTGTGTGGTGAACCCGACCAGTGCAAGAACACAAGGACGAGAGGGGGGAGGGGGGGGAAAGGAGGGATGGAGATGGTTGAGGGGCCAGTTCGTTAAGAGACAATTATTCCCCGTCGGTAGCACCGCGCAGGGTGCGTGTGATCGCCCCGACTAGGGTAAGGGGTTGGGAGCACAAGAGAGTTTGGGAGAGAGGGTTGGCGGGGTGGAAAGGAAGCGGGGTGAGGGGGAGGGAGAATGGATGATGATGCGATGACCGCGATCAGGACGGGACGAATCCAGATATTCTAGCTCGACCTAGCACGGATTGAGTTGGGCGCGTCAACCTGGACGGACGTCTTAAGATCTGATCTTGCGCTAGAAGGTTTCCAGTCCCGTCCTTCTCTCTCTTGTGAGGGTCTGTCACCTGTAAATCCGAGATGCGTCAGGAGGGGTCGAAAACGAAAGAAGAGAAAAAAAAAGAAGAAGAAAAGAATAATAATAACAAAGAAAATATAGGCCTTGTAATGGTGTCCGGGGTATCGGGCCAGCTCGGGAGATGATGTTGGAATCGATTTGTAAAGGTTACTCGACATGACTGCACTGGTTAGGGTTACGTCCGTGGCTCCCCATTACAGGCGCGGACAGTGAGAGAGATAGACGCAGGCCATGTACGTTCGCGGACGGATTGCGGAAACGGTGCCGCTTGCGGTCTGTCGGCTCCGGGTCGGACGAAAACAAAAGTACGAAAGAGCGTGAGGAATGCGTCGGTGTTGGGCGGGATACAGGACGGGACGAGGACGGGACGAGGACGGGGATTTGTCTCGAAGAAGAAGAAGAGAAAAAGAAGAATGAAGAACGAAATGAAGCTACCCATAAGCCAGCCAGTCAGCCTTTCGTTCCGGTTATGGGAAGAATTCAAAGAATTTTATTATGGCCCGGCTCACCTTAGTTCGAAGGTTGTTGGGCACGGGCTGCTTGTCGGGTGAGACAAATCTATGCCATTTCCTTTAGAACTCTTGGCGGAATGTCGGGTTTTCCTTGAGCGATGCGATCAGTACGATCGTACAGAGAAACAGCAGCTTTGCTCATCATTCAGCATCGGCGTCGGCGACGATGGCGTCAGGTCAGGTCCGAGAGCCACCCCTTTTGGATTCGAGTCGAGTCGAGTCGAGTCGAGTCGAGTCGCTTGACTGGGAGGGACCGGACTGTGCAACTCGTCGCCATCACCAGATCGTGCTAGATGTGCGCTAGTGAAACGGGGGCTGTAATGTAATGTAATGTAATGAGCATTGCAAGGTTAGTTGTATTACTGAGCTGGCACAACAAAGTGGACCAGGGAGATTTGGATTTGGATCGATTTGTGCCAGTTCAGTTCAGTTCAGTGCAGTGGGCGAGCATGTACGTACAACATACGTCGTAGGGCCGAGAGGCGTCCCGACGTGCAGCTGATAAACACCAGATAGTACAGATAGATGTATGCGACGGCAGCGGTGAAGACTGAAACCGAGTGGTCTGGTCGGTCCGTTCACTGACGTTTTTGAGAGAGAATCTTGGAAGCTGTGCAGGCCGATGCAAAAGTATGAGCATCAGTCTTCGTATGAGCAGGACGAAAGCAAAGAGGATGATCGTGAGCATAGCATGAGCTCTACTCTACCCCTGAACATGATCGACGACAAGGAATGCCGAGCCACCGAGTGGGGTTGGTGTGATGAGAAATGATCCGAAGATCCATCTCCATCCCTTGCTCGTTGCTCCCGACGATGGTCTCCCTTTGCTGTCGTTTCCTATGTATTTTCCCTATTCGCACCGTCGACCGTCGACCGTCGACCTTCGACCTTCGACCTTCTAATGTCGCGTTGCACCGAGTCCTTCGTATCACCAAAGCTCCCAATAGGGCATGGTCCCGATTGAACATCGGAGCTGCACGCGGGTTCGTCTGAAGCTCGAAGCTTGAGCTCCCAGAGAAGCTCCCCGACGGGCGGTTTGACACAAGCTTGTTAGCAAAGCGAAGGGCAACCAAACAGGGACCCGCCATCTTCTTAGCGTCACGTTGCCACAGAGATGTTTTCCTTCTCCTTTTTTTCTTCTTTTTTTCTCCAGAGATCGCGAAGGAGCCAATGCCTTGCTTTCCCCACATGGGCGTGCGTGCCGTAGAATTGTGCAAAGATGACCCCTTATCAATGCACATTCCTCGTCATCGTAATGAGGGCTCCGGTGTATTCGGCCTTGGCTAATCTGCGGAAACCCGTAGCTTGGAAACGAAAAAGCCTATCTGTGCACTGTGGTGAACGTCATCTGTGCCACTGGGCGGTCATTTTCGGTCCAGAAAATCATAAACTCTCATGATTATTAGGGTTTCTGTGCAACTTTGCAGCACGTCATGTATCGGGACCGCGAGGAGCCGAATACATAATGATCCCCGAATTCCCATGTGCATGCATCTCTATGTGTTCACCGAACATATCGATTGCATGCGGGGCGCCAGGCCCCTATGTTTCGGTTGCTGGGCCTCTACCGGTATGCTGTATCGTGCTCGTGTCACGTATCGACTGCAAAATGACTCTCTCGGGGACTGTCGATGATAATCCATCAGTGAAGCAAAGCATTCACATCCGAACTCGGTCATTGCCTCCGCCGAAGCAGCCGGTGATGCAGCATCACGAAAGCTAGATCGGCTCCTCCTTCGCTGACTCCCTTCCAGGAACATACCGGATGCGGGACGTTGGGGGCCCGAGTCCGAGACAACGGAAGAAGATGGTAAAACGGGAAGGAAATCCATGTCCGGCCAGGCAGGCAAGCGTCCGAGTCAGTTGTAGGTTATCCGTCTTTCTGTCGGCCTTCATTTCTGGACCACCGTGCAAGGCGGTTGACCGTAGCGACTTGCTGCGGGGAGCAATACACGCCCTCGCTCTACTACTTCGTACACAAGAGAGATGCCCGGCATCATGACGCACGCACGCATGCCTGCCGAGCCTGGCCTGGCCTGGCCTGGCCTTTGGTCCTTGGAATCCTCACTCTTTGGGTTTGGTGTTCATCATCGGCCAGAGACACGAAAGCCAGCTCCGTGGAGACACCGGTTCCAGACCTGATAAACGCAGCTGGCGAAATCGATGAAAGCAAATGCCGTCGATCAATAAATGCATGGATGCAAATGCAGATCGTTCGCTCCCGGACGAATGTGCAAGATGAAGGTGAAGACCGAAAAGCTGTGTCACTGACGAGTCGAGTCGAGTCGAGTGATGCTTCCTGCAAATGCTTCCTGCAAATAGAGACGGGTCGTTGCATTCGAAATTGGTACGCCGTGTGGCGCGCTGAGAAAGACACTCACCGAAGAAATAATCGAGGTGATGGTTGGGTTCGTCCACGATGGTGGAAATCACACGGGGAGGACGAGAAGGAAAGAGGCACCAAGTATGAAACATGGACGAAACACATGAGATCACAAGATTCACCTTAGCAAGCAATTACATTCATGTACCTGCGTACCTTAAGCCAAGGTACGGTACCTAAGGTACCTCAGGACCTTACGGATACAATGCAATGAATCTGCGATATCTTACGATAAGATCAGACGATAGCGATAAGGTATATTGATAAGATAGGATAAGATAAGGTAGGTAGAAACCTCCATCACACTCTATCATACAGTGCAGGAAACTGGGAACGAACTGTACCAAGCACTGTCTCTTCTCTCGCGTCCTCTTAACGTCCAGCTGCGACCCGAAAGGTCCATCACCCACAACGAATTGTTCCGCCGTCGTCCGCCGTCGTCCTGCGCCGCCCAACCCCCTGATACATGCGCGGTCGTCCCAGGGACGACGGGAGGCAGACATGGCACCCTTAACCCCCTACACCTACATCCAATGCCCTTGTTCCGATACCAGCTTCTCCCCCTCGGGAGCACCAACCTCCGACGACAAGACGGAACCCGAAGACGATGACCGCACCTTCGATCCTCGCGCGCCTCGCGCCAATTACAGCCTCTATCCTCTCGAGTACCTTCTATACTGCGAGGACTGTCATCAGATTCGTTGTCCTCGCTGCGTGAACGAAGAAATCGTCACCTACTACTGTCCCAGCTGTCTGTTCGAGGTGCCCAGCAGCAACCTTAAAACTGAGGGAAACCGGTACGTTGCGGTTTGCGTTATCGGGCTTCCGAGCTCTTACTCCCCAGTCCATTCGACTTTGCACCAACAAGGACTTGTACAAAGGTCTTCTGCAATCTGCTCACACTCGCCCAGGTGCACGCGGAGTTGCTTCCAGTGCCCCATCTGCATAGGACCCCTCGTCGTCACCAGTCTCGAGGCCCCTCCTGAACCTACCCTCCTCGCCGCCGACAATACCGCCCAACCGACCGGCCCTTACGTCCTGACCTGCTCCTACTGTAACTGGAGCTCCACCGAGATCGGCATACAATTCGACAAGCCCAACGGGATCTACCAGCAGCTGGCCAAGATGTCCAACGGAGGCAAGCCGCGCCTGACCGCCAAGGAGTTCAGAGAGCGCTCGCGGAAAGAGAAGGAGGGGGACCCCGAATCGCCATCGTCCCCGCTCACGAACAGCGACGTCGACGCCGAGCTCCAATTCTCCCAGCTCAAGGCCTTTTACCAGTCCCAGCTCAACGAGACGAACCCACAAGCCGCCGCCGGATTGGGGTCGCTGGCCGACCTCGGCATCTCGTCTCCCGGGTCCCTCTCGCGCATCATGAGCATGTACACGGGGGCCGGCCACGGCGCCAGCCACAAGCAGTCGCGCGGCAGACTCCCGGTCATGCGCGAGGCCCGCACCCTCGACGAAGGGTTCCAGGAAGCCGACCTCGACGACTCGGCCCTCATCGAGAAACTTCGCGCCTCTGCGTTCGAAGACACCGCCTCGACCGACCAACGCCTCGCACAGCAGCCCTCGTTGCCGTCCCACCACCCCCTCCTCTTCGTCGACGACCTCCGCCCCATCCCCTACCTCCTCCGCACCAAGCGGTCCAAACGCTGCCCCGTCTGCCGCCACATCATCAGCAAGCCCGAGTCCAAAATCTCCAACCCGCGCTTCCGCATCCGCCTCATCGCCGGGAGCTACATCCCCACCATCACCGTCCGGCCCTTCCACGCGCCCGAGTCCCACAACGTGCCGTCCGGCCTGCGGCCGCCCGTGCCGGCGGAACTGTGGCTCGCGCCGCACCGCGCCTCGCAGTACGTCCTCACCTTCCAGAATCCCATCTTCGAGCCCGTCAAGGTCACGCTCGCCGCGCCGGCGGCCACGCCCGGGCGGTTCGCTAGCACGGTGACGGTGCTGTGTCCGCAGTTCGACATTAGCGCGAACACGGACATGTGGGACGATGCGCTCAAGGAGGAGGGCGAGGTGCAGCTGCAGCTGCAGAGGAGGAGAGCGGGTGAGGATGGGGGGCCCGCGCAGCCTGAGCCGGGGAAGATTTGGGAGCGGGGGCGGAACTGGGTGAGTATTGTCGTTGAGGTTGTTCCGGCTTCGTTGCGGCTTGATGGTTTGCCGCCGGGCCCGGGGGGGGAGGAACCCGACCGGAGCCCCCTGAAAGAAGATGAGGATGTGTTGGAGATACCCATGTTTGTAAGGGTCGAGTGGGAGGCTGATACGCGGGACGACGTGGGCAGCTCTACCACGACCAGGGATAATAAGGAGGCCAGGGAGAAGAGGGAGCTGGCGTATTGGTGTGTTCTCGGCCTCGGCAGGATAGCCCGAGGGTAAAGATGCATTGCAGAAAGAGGAACCGGAGGGACACCGGAATATATGGCGTATGATGTGAAATCAACAACCCGAGAAATGAGATAGACCTACGATACCCATCACGAGGCATTTGATTCATTCACAGGCGAGATGGACAATAGTAGCAGCTTGCATGGAGTCGGGAAGAACCAACGACCAAAGATCAAGAGCAGGAAAAATAAAACCCGAATGAAGAAAAAAAAAGAAGAAAAAAGCCGTGATCATGTGTTCATCAATGCACGTTTGGCAGCCTGCTCTGAATTCTCAAGCTACATCTCTAGACGCCGGAGCCCGAGCCCTTTTTAGTGACCAACCCAGTCGAAGTCAACGACCCATGCCCTCGACTCTTCCCCTCGGTTCACTCTCTCTGAGCGACGGAGGAAGTAGTCAAGAAGGACGCGCGTTGAGGGGGGAATCATGCCCTGAGGAAAATTTGCCGAATGCCAAGCCCTTGTTGTTTAATTTCAAGTATACCCCTCTCCCTTCCCTCTATTCAGAGAGAGATTTCTCCTGTCCTGACAATAAAGTCCACCCATCGCATCGCCCTAATAGTCGGTGGCAACGGTCTGGGGGAACTCAAAGGTGACGCCGCGGCCGGTGAGCTTGCGGTAGACCTCGGAGTAGGTGTCGAGGCGGTAGTCGACGCCGCCGCGCTCCTTCTCGTCGAGGATGACCTTGAGGAGCTTGTTGCCGTCCTCCTTGGTGCGGAGGCGCTTGCCGACAATCTCGACGGGGTAGACCAGGTCGGTGAGGATGGCGTCGTGAACGGCGGTCAGGGTGCGGCTGTAAGGGCGCTTCTGCTTCTGGCTGTTGCGGGCGCGGCTGGAGCGCTTGGGGCGGGGGAGGATGCGGCGCGAGGCCAGGAAGATGACGTGCCTCTCGGAGAACTTCTTCTCGAGCTCACGGGTGAGGCTGTGGGAACGATTCGGCGTCAGTACTTCCCTTTTTTTTTCGTTTATACATCCTATTTTGAAGGTCTTTGCAAGTTTTCAGGACGAAAGGGCGACATACCGCTGCTGGACTCGGTGGAAGCCCTGCAGGGAAGGGACGGGGACAAAGATGACAATTGCCTTCCTGCCGTGGCCAACCTCGATCTAATCAAGACCAGAAGAGTCAGCGTGCGAGCTCCAGGACGAACCTTGGACCGCTTCCCGTCCTGTTCCACTGTTGGGATGTTCTTTTTCTTTTGTTCTTTTTTCTTCTTCATCTTCTTATCGCTCCTCCGCCAGACCCAGCGCGACTCCGACCCCACAACAAGCGGCATGTTATTTCTCCCGTTTCAGAGATTGAATCGACCAAGAGAAGACTTCATGGTGCCATCGCGCTCAGGTGGGGGGTATATGACATCGCAGTTGGTTCGCCCGTGCGTGGGATTGCGTCGGGTCGGTCGTCGCGTGGCAGGAGTTTGGTCGAATATCGACATCGAAGGAACAGAAGACAGGATGGTCGGCGGTCCTTAAGAAACCGGTACCGGTATTTGCTCAAGTAAATCTCACCTCACGGGCAGACACGATCTGTAGAGGACGAAGGGCGACCTTGAGGTCGGCGGTGTTGGACTCGAGGTCGTACAGAGCCTGGGCGATGCTCTGTTCGAGCTCGGAAGGGTTGGCCCGCGAAGGGCTGTTGTGGGCGATCTTGTTCAACGCGGGGCCGCTCATCTTGTCTGTCGTGGTCGGTCGACGGGGAGGGTGATGGGTTGATGGTTGTCGTGAGGGTTCGTGGATGGCCGTCGAGGTGGGAAAAGTTTTGGGAAGGTGTGAATGGAGGGCTGCCAATTGGGGAGTCGCTAAGATTGGGGTTTTCGAGCCCTGATAGTGGGGCCTCACGTTGTGGGCTTGAAAACGGGGTGGACTTTGAGCTTACTAAGAACAAGGTGTTCGGTGAATGTGTACCTAGTCTCACCGAATAACGGTATCTTATCAAGGGCAATCGCGACGGGAATCTGCCTCTTCCGCTTCTCAACCTCGAACATTCCCCTTCCCTTCCTCTCTGCCACACCTCTACGAGCAAGAGAAAACGAACTATCTGCCCACACCGGGTTGCTAGGGTTGCTTTCCATTCTTTTACTCCATTTTCTGCACATAGTTACTTGTTCTGGTTATTATCCTTGTTGCTGATCCTGAATTCCCGATTCACTGTTCAGCGGATAGCCCTCACAGTCCTCACTTGCATCAGCAAATGCTTGTCTGATACCCAGACGAACCTCGTTTGCCATGGTCAATCAAAACGTTCCTGATCGGGTCAGATTATAGTGCTCAAGAGCAACTGTGAAGAGGAGTAGGGACTATCCGTCATGCATCATACCCAGCCTCACATGGTGCTCAGCAACCACCGCATCCCCTCCCAGTTCTCAACAACCGTAGGAAGAATCTGATCCGCCGGCAAGACAAACCCACCGCCAGCAGCATCAGCAGGACTCAGTTCGTAACCCCACGACAACTCGGCCCCCGCGACATCATACACATAGTCCATACTCCCACCGCTCGCCGCGTAGAGCACATCACACACCGGCCCGGCGGTGTACTTGGACCCATCCACCGTCTCCACCACCGCCGCCGTGCCGCGGGCGAGCTCCATCTGGCGCTCGTAGTTCTCGACGCGGGCATCGCAGTCCCCGCCGTAGGAGAGGAGGATCAGGTGGCCGTAGCTGTGCCAGTCGATGTACAGCTTGATGCCGCCCTCGTTGGCGGCGGCCACCGCGTCCGTGAAGGCCACCAGGGACTGCATCTCGGGCGTGTCGCCCGGAGACAGGCCGCGGAAGGTCTCGGCGCAGGGGCTGTCCGAGGCGCCGCCCGTGACGTTCCAGAAGTGGGGCCAGTTGCGGTTCACGTCTGTTCCGGTGCAGCGTTCGGCGTCGCGGGGTTGGCGGTTCTTGCGCCACATGCGGTCCGTGGTCTGCGTGTGGATGAAGCCTGGATGGGATTCGTTGATTCGTTCGTGTCAGACGACGTCCAGTGGCGAACGGAAGATTGAAGGGAAGATCTAATCAGTTGAGGGCTTTGATTCAGACATACCATCCGGATTGACCACAGGAAGGATATAAAAGTCGTAGGCATCGACTATGGCCTTGACGTCTTCGGTGCCGTCAAGGTAGCCCGAAATGAGCTGGTACAGCAGGTACTCGACCGTCTGGGCGTCGCAGTTGGTTGACCGTTAGCCACATGCACCGTTCCAAGTTCTTCGTCTCGTCTCTTGGTCTTTGGCCTCAATTCCTACGTACCATGGTGGTGATCCACTCTCGCGCATGGACAGTACCGTGCCAGTACACGGCAGGCCTTCCGCCCTTGCCATTCTCTCCCCAGAAATGAATGCCCTGGATAGGACGGCCCTCGTACGACGCGCCGGCGGTCACAAGCTCCGAGTTGTCTGGGAAGGCAAGGTGCAAGTCCTCCAGGAATTGAAGGTGGTCTTCATAAGGGTGGTAGTTGTCGAACCACTCGAGGCCGGGCAGGTCGGCGCTTTCGGTTGTCCGCAGATAGGGCCGGAGGGGACCCTCGGAAAGGATGTCTTTGCCCAGGTCCTCGTGCACTACGGCAGCGTCGAGGCCGAGGGCGTCAAAGGCGGAGATGTCCTCGGGGGAGACGGCAAGGTCAAGGTGGTCGATGGTGCCCGGGCTGAAGTTGACGAGACGCAAGTTGCGGATCTGGGATTCGACCGTGGCGACATCGGCGTGGGTGTCGACCCTGTAGACTCTGTAACCGTCGTACGAGACGCTGGGGCCGCGGGGTGCGACGATCCGTGCGGACACCAGAGGTACGGCGACAGCTCCAAGGCCAACGAGGAGCTTCATCGTGATGGTGGTAGGGTATCCGTATGACTGGCACTTCGGTGGAGAGAGAAGACCACAACACCACAGCTAGTTGCACGGTTCAAAGGAAGATCAAGGATTGAAACCAAAATTGTGGAACAGCATGGCAACGTCCTTAATAATGGAAGGGGGGAAGCCATACTTACGATCCCATGGGACCGCCCTTCCGACCATCCATGCTCCCTCGGCCCGCGCCCCCCCCCCCCCCCCCCCCCCCCCCCCCCCCCCCCCCCCCCCTACGATCATCAACACCGTAGGTCCTATCACATGCGCTCTCGAGAGGGAATGCTTGGGCTATAGCTCGGGTCATTTGGCGAAAAAAGGCAGGCGATAGATCCAAGTCCCAGTTCTACCGGCGATCTTTGTTTTACACGAATAAAAAAAATAGGGGGTTGTCTCATGCTGATGCCGATCCCTCCCGGTATTTGCTACGTGCCCGGGGCACTCCCACAGTCCCGCTTGTTGGAATGCCTCCTCGAGAATTGCCCGATTCGGCTCATATTTGTTCATCATGTGGTTCAATGTTCTTTTCGGGAATTGTATCGTTGCACAAGGACCCCCAGACATGACGTCCATGAGATGTCTCGGGATCCGAGCACACAAGAAGAGGTTTGCTCCATGTTTTCCAAGCGCAGGGCCTGAAAAGATACTATATCGCGGGTCACTGTCGTGCTGCATGATACAGCTTGGCATGGTGCCCAAAAAAAGCATGTTGTCGTTGCTGTCGGCGCATCCATGATCCTATGATGTTGCCAGTCGTGAGGGCAGATCCTCCATATGGGTTCAAGCGACAACACATCCCCGAGAAAGGGAATCGCCTTCTGCCAGTTTACGAGAGTAACTTGAGCGGGTGATTTGAGGACATTCAGACGAAAACGCTAGAGGATGCGCGAGAGTGTCTTCAACAGATATATAGAGCTCGTGAGGATAAGGCACTTGCCGCACTTCTCGATGATGCTCATATCAGGGATGGCGCATCTTCCATCGACCGTGAGACGCAGCAGGAACAGGCATACTTATACACCAAGATACGTATGACGATATGACCTCAGCGAGCAACTCACAATGTCCGGTGCTGTGGTTTATGTCTTTATAGTGAGGACTTCCAGAGCGGCTTCAGGTCTCAACTGCATGCAGTGACATAATGCACCTTGATGGAGAGTGTTATCATTGGGAAGATATAACGAAGGAACGCAATGCAATGTGGGATTCTCTTGTCAGGAGAATTTGTTCCGTTCAGCACCCGGTCCCCATAGGGACAGGAGGTTGCGCCATGCATGGCAGGAAGCACTTGACGACATGGCAACAACGCAAGGGACCATTGTTGACGGCCAGGGCCAAGATCGCATGAGAGGCAGAGAGAAAGAGTGGCACCAGCATGTAAGAACACCATGCAGCAGCAGAAGACGGAGACAGGACTCATGTCGTCATACACACCAGCTATTTCATGGAAACAAACAAGCCATGGATAGCATGAAGCTATACTACTAATGTCAAACAATCTAGGGAATGGCCCACCACCTCTCATGCACCTGGCGAAGGTCAACCGGCTCATCGGGCCTCTGCAAGTACGGCGTCATGTCAGACTCAGGGTCCAGCTCCTGTTTCGTGCACCCCTGTCCAAGATACCAAAAGAACGGATTTCCCTGGGTCTCGGGCAGATACTCGTACTCCCAGTCCTCCCACCTCGGCTCGCGCTGCAAGATGGTGTTGAGCGCCGCACTCCCGGGGAACAGCCCATGAATCCTGGCCCCCGGCCGCCCACCGTTATACCACGAGCTGCACTTCTCCGACAGCACCGTCGTGGCGAAAAAGGCGTCCGACCACTCCGTAAAGCCATCAGCGGCCTTCTTCCGCGGCTGCATCGTCAGGATGCCCTCGCGGCTGGCTTTGCGCAGGATCCGGGCGTAGTACACCACCTGGTTCTCCACGTTGTGCGGGACCGTGCCGGAGCGTCCCGATCCGGTCGGGCCGTGTACGAACAGGAGGTTCGGGAACCCGGGCGAGGCGGCGCCGAGGTAGCTATAGGGGAACCCGTACTTGCCGTCCGGCTTCCACAGGTCCGCGAGGTCCTCCCCGAAGGCCACGATGGGGAAGGGCGGCGCGCCGTCGACGTTGGCGCCCGTGGCGCAGAAGATGGCGTCCACCTCCCGGTGCGTCCCGTCTTCGGTCTCGATGCCGGTGGCGGTGAAGCGCCGGATCTTGGTGCGGATGTAGTCGACGTTGTCCGAGGTGATGGCCTCGAGGTAGCCCGGGCCGGGGGTCAGACGGCGGCAATGGGGCGAGAAGTCCGGGATGAGCTCGCCCACCAGCTCGGGCTTCTTGGCGGCGATGCGCGCGTTCATGTTCTTGGTGAAGTTCTCCCGCTGCTGGTCGATGGAAGGGTGGTTCTTGAGCCAGCCGGTGAAGTTGCGGTAGTATTTCCCCTCCATCTCCTTCCGGAACGTGAGGTACGACTCTGGGTCCTCCTTGAACTGCCTCCTCCGCTCTTCCGACACGGGAATGGGGTCGAGAGAGGTGTCGTCGCCCATGAAGGAGGCAGTGACCCAGGTCCTGTTCCTGGCGTAGTGGTCCACGCGCGCGGCGACCCGTTGTAAGTGCGAGGTCAGCTGGATGCCGCTGGCGCCGTTGCCGATCACGGCGACCTTCTTGCCCTTGGGGTCGAAGGTGGGATCCCAGTTGGATGCGTGGCGCAACACGCCCTCGAAGTCCGATAGGCCGGGGTACGCCGGCAGCTTCCATGCGTTGAAACGTCCGATGGCGCTGAGGACAAAGTCGAAGGCCTCGGTTCGGACATTGTCCGACTTGAGATCCCGGACGCTGACTTGCCATACCGACTTGTATTCGTCCCGCTTCAGCCCTTCGACGTTATGCGAGAGTTGGAGAAGCTTGTACAAGTCGTATTTCCGGGCAAGGCCTTGCCAGTACTCGCGAATCTCGGGGCCTTGAGCGAACTGCTCGGCCCACTGGGTGTTGTAGTCGAAGGTTGCTTGATAGACGTGTGCCGGGATGTCGCAGCGCACGCCAGGATAAATGTTCTCGAACCAAGTGCCGCCCTGGTACAGTCTTAGACTGCCGTTCATGTGTGGTGTGAATAATGGGGGATATGGAGTCATGGACCATAGGAGGACACACCACGTCAGAGTTCTTCTCGAAGATTGTGAGTTGGATGCCCGGGACCTTTGCAGGCAATAGGATGCCGGCGAGGACACCAGACAGCCCTGCGCCGACCACAGCAACACGCAGCTCTCTCGGCTCGTCAATGTAGCGGTTCAGAAGTTGACGTCTTGGGTTTGCATAGTTTGGAGGCGGGATGATGGGCTTGGTTGAGATTTCCACTGTGACAGCATGAGGGGGTTCCGGAATAGGGGGCGCCTCCAGGACGTCGACGGACAATGCGTGATAGTCGCCCATGATCAAGGACTCGCTTTCTCTGTACCGAGCTTTGCTTTTCTTCCAAAGGAAGCAAAGGTTCTACTCTTTCGTCAATGAAAAATATTTGGTTCAGCGCATATCTTTCGAGGCAGACGGGAACCAGAGACTCGGAATCAAGGAGCATAAAAGAGTGAGGAGAAGCAGCCACGATATTCACGAAATCCAACCAAGACGTCCATCTTCTTATTCCGTCATCAATAGCCGCGACACAGAGCTTTACTAGACCCCTCGTAGCTGTGTTGTACGATAAACTATTGTAAGACTCCGCCGGCCGAAGCACGCCTCTCGTGATGTGGTGAGCACGCCATTCTCTCCACTCCTTGGGGCATCAACGCCCAACTGTCCGGCGCCGATACGGACCTCACACTGCCATTTTCGGATACAATGACTTTTAGGTTTTACAACGTGAAAGCAGACAGAAAAAAAAAAAGGCGGCAGTTCCCTTAACGTTGGGACGTTGACCGTTGAGCCCCTGCCCCTGCCCCTGCCCCTGCCCCTGACCCCCTTTTCCCTCGAGCCTGGTTCTTGGTGTCGACTTGACCAGAATAAACGGATCTTTCCTTCACTATAAATACCATACCCTGGTCCTGCAGTAGATGCATTCGTTGCATCACTTTGAATTATAATGATGCCATGTCGTCGAATATCAGAAACCTCTCATCCCTCGGACCCAGAAGTCTGGGTTGCGTGGGCAGCCGAGGATGTGACTATGGCGGCCAGCCAGCCGCGCTATGCACGACCACGAATCTCTGTCGTCTGTCATATGGGGGCTCATGCTTGTCATAGCTGCTTCTTCAGGCGAGATTGACTTGAATGAGTCTGTCACAACATCGCCATCCTCGAGGCTGGCGTCCAGGGGAGATGGATATATATTGAAGGGAACTCCGTGAAGCTCTCAACTGAATCCGATGCATCGTCAACTTTGTCTTGCCCAGGTCGTCATTCAATATTCCAACCGGGTTTCTTATTCTTTCAAGTCATTTCTGCTGCCATTGATCTCATATGCTTGTCACAATGCCGGCTCCAACAACGAAGAGGAAGTGGTACCAGATCCAGTGGTATGCGGACACCGATACCCCTGAAGAGCGCAAGTTCATCATCAAGCTCGATGCTCTGATTGTCCCCTATGCTGTTCTCGCCTACTGGGTGAAGTACATTGATCAGTCGAATCTCAGTACGCTTTCATTCATTCACTCCCTCCCTTGGCAAGCCCCGTGCCCCTTTAGGCTTCATGTTTCATACTGACTGATTGCAAGACAATGCTTACGTCGCTGGTCTCAAGGAGGACCTCGGTTTTGAGGGAAACGAGCTCGTACAGCTTCAGACATTCTATATCATCGGCGCTGTCACTGGCCAGACCCCCTTCTTTTTTCTGCTTACCTACATTCCCCTCCATTGGCTTATCCCCTTCCTCGACATCGCATGGGGAATCTTCACTCTGCTGCAGTACCGCGTGACGGGCTATGCCGAGCTGGCAGCCTACCGGTTCCTCGTGGGGTGGTTTGAGGCTGCATTCTTCCCAGCCATGCACTATCTATTCGGTATGTTGATATCAACATGACCTACTTTCTTTTGTCTTCGAGGCTTTGCTAACTGCATGTGCTAACTTCTGCCACCCTGGCCCACCCAACCAGGCTCGTGGTATCGCGGCGACGAAATCGCCCGCCGCGGCGGCGTCTTCTACACCGGCCTCTCCCTCGGAACACTGACAGCAGGCCTCATCCAAGCCGGCGCCTCCGCCCGTCTCGACGGCGTCCACGGTCTCAAAGGCTGGCGCTGGATGTACATCATCTGCGCCATCATCACCATCCCCATCGGCATCCTCGGCTACTTTGTCCTCCCCGGCACGCCCGACCAGCCGAACCTCCGCGTCCTGACCAAGCACGACGTGCAGCTCGGGGCGTCCCGCCTGGAGCGCGCGGGCCACGAGTCGCACGGTAAGTTCAAGCTCAGCGACCTCGGCTCCATCTTCGTCAAGCCGCAGTTCTGGGCCATCATCCTCGTCGACGTGCTCTTCTGGAACGCCGGCGTCCATACCAGCTCCGGCTCGTTCCTCCTCTGGATCAAGTCCCTCGGTCGGTACTCGCAGGCGCGCATCAACGAGTTGGGCACCATCGCCCCCGCGCTCGGCATCTTCTACACGTTGTTTATCTGCTTCGCCTCGGACCTCGTCCTCGGACCCGCGTGGGCCATCACCGTGGCGCACGTCTGGAACATCATCGGTCTGGTCATCCTCGTCATTTGGAACGTCCCCGAGTCGGCTACTTGGTTCGCCTTCTCCACCATTTATGCCTCGTATGCCATGTCGAGCGTCTTCCACGGCTGGGTGAATACGCAGCTGCGCTCTTTCCCCTCCCAGCGGGCTTTCACGCTCGTCTTGATCAATGCCATCTCGCAGTCCTCGACCGCGTGGACGCCGTTGCTGGTCTACCCCACGGTCGAAGCCCCCCGGTATCCGAAGGGTTTTGCCTTTACCCTCGGTTGTGCCATTGCTCTCATCATCGCTACCCACATGCTACGCTTGTACCTGAAGCGGCGAGAGTGAGTCGTCCCCTTGTTCTCGTCCCCCTTTTCCATTGACGCATCAAATGTTATTACTATTGTGTGGACTGCGTACTGACAAAGCACGATTAAAAGTCCCGGTGCTGAGAGGACCACGCTGCACCCACTTGTTATTGAGGCGGAACCAGCTCATGTAGAAGCTGGCGGCAAGGGAAAGGGGCTAGGGGCTGGAAAAGACGACAGCCAGTAAATCGCCCGACGATGAACTTGGTGGATAAAAACAGGGGGCAGTATAGTGCACGACAACGGGAATAAGCTAGAAGGGCTTCCTGAGCTGAGCTTGGTGTGAAAATAGGGCTGGAATCCAGTAACGGGACTATATGGAGAAGACGAGCAGCTCTGCGGCTTTTAGTTGGCCATGATACAGAAATAGCACAGGAATACTAGCACCTATATTACAGTTACACCTTTCCGCTCTGCACCTCTGCACCCCGCTGACCAGAATTAAACAGGACCCTGCATGATGGATGGATAGGTGCTGCTGCATCCAACACGTCGCCCACCGTGATGCATATAAAACTTAAGCGAAGTCACGTTGGACCATGTGATAAATTAATTCCCACACTGATGCCTGCTCGACTTTCAAAACATGTGATGCGAGTCCTGAGGATCGCATCCTGGTGCTTATGCTGTCCCTGAAGGAAGTCCCTTACCCGAAGCATCCAAGTTGGCATACGCTGTATTATCTTGATGCCACCGAGCTAAAGTTCAGACAAGGGTCAAGGGAGAGCTGTGACAAAAGAAAGAGAAAACACAGAAAAGAAAAGGTTAGGAGGCACCCAAAAGCCGTGCCGTTCGTGAAGACCGGACCCCCGCCTTACAACCTACACGTTCGAATGAATGGAGATGGCATCATGATCACCAGCTATGGCGCCAACTCGATAGCTTCAACTCGGACCGCAACCCCTGTCTAATAACCTCTTACCCCACGCCAGCTCCCACGCATATGGGCAGACCTTGACAAACCAACCTGATCGCGAATTCGACGTGACAAGGCGTCATCAGAACCATAATGGCATGTTGAGGGACTGGCCAAGGACGAAGCAGTTTAAATCCTTGGTGGATATCAGTCTTGTCACTGCGCTGTTAGTAGAAGTAGGGAGAATTCAGAATCCAGTCCTCCCAGAGTCCCAGTCATATTGAACAACATCACCTACCGTCCGCAAACATCCCCTGAACTCACATCACGATTCACCGAAAGACATTTGACCTACACGGTCACCCAACGTCGTGCTAAAATATACAATCGTTTCCGCCATGACGACACTACCGATTGTTGGCGACTCGGGCGCCGGCTCAGAAAAGCCCAGCATCAACAAGAAGATCTTGCTCAATGCGTTCGACATGTCCACCGTGGGACATCTTTCCCCTGGACAATGGAAGGTAACAACATGAAGCAAATGGCCCCCCCTTGATTCGTTCCCCGGGACAAATGCTTACTCGACCGACGACCAGAACCCCACGGACAAGTCGGCGACAAAGCGAGATCTGCATTACTGGATCGAGCTGGCCAAGCTCCTCGACAGGGGAGGCATCAATGCCTTGTTCCTGGCGGACACGTATGGTGGGTACGACACCTATGAGGGCAGCTTGGACAACTGTATCCGTCGCGCGGCACAATGGCCCGTGACTGATCCGACCATTGTAAGTTGAGTCTTGTTGGACGAGGCATTCCCGCGTGCGTACTTGAGAGCGACAGACTCGCTGACTGAACTATCTCAGCCCATTTCCGCCATGGCAGCTGTGACGAAGAACCTCTCTTTCGCCATCACGGCATCGACGTCTTTTGAACCTCCTTTTTTGCTTGCGAAGCGCTTGTCCAGCCTTGATCACTTCACCAGGGGCCGCATCGGATGGAACATTGTGACCTCCTGGAAGAAGTCCGCTTTCAAAGCCATCGGTCTCGACAACCCTATTCCGCATGACGAGAGATACGAACAAGCTGATGAGTATCTTCGGGTTCTTTATAAGTAAGTTCATGTTCTCATCTTGTCCTCCACCTTTTTTTCTTTCTTTTTCTTCTCTTTTCTTTTCGTAAACTGCGACGACTCACATGCCAATCACTTTGCAGACTATGGGAAGGCTCTTGGGCAGACGACGCAGTGTCTCCCGACCCCGAAAACGACAGCTACGCAGACCCCGACAAGATCCGAACCATCCACCACCACGGCAAGTTCTTCGACCTGGACACCAGACACATCGTCGACCCCTCCCCGCAGAGGACACCCTTCCTTTTCCAGGCCGGAACCTCGTCCGCCGGGTCAACCTACGCCGCGACGCACGCCGAAGGCGTCTTCGTGTCGGCGCACTCCCCCGCGCTCCTCCGGCCCAAGATCAAGGCCATCCGGGACCAGGCCGCCCGCCTGGGGCGCGACCCGCAGTCCATCAAGCTCTTCGCCACCTTCACGCCCATCCTGGGCAGGACGGACGGGGAGGCCAAGGCCAAGCACGAGGCGCTGAAGAAGCACGCCTCCACCGTCGGCGGGCTCGTCCTCGTCAGCGGCTGGACCGGCATCGACTTGTCCAAGATCCCGCTCGACCAGGAGATCACGGCGGCGGACTCGACCGAGGCGAATAAGGTGCGCAGCATTCTGGACGCTTTCACCTCTACGAGCGAGGATGCGGTGAAGTGGACGCCGCGGCTCATTGCCGAGCATGCTGCCATTGGAGGTCTGGGTCCCGTCTGTGTTGGTAGCCCCCAGACTGTGGCTGATGCGTTGGAGTACTGGGTCCGGGAGGGTGACTTGGACGGGTTCAATATTGGATACGTCACCACCCTTGGCACGTTTGAGGATGTTGTTGATCTACTCGTACCTGAGTTGCGCCGGCGGGGCTTGTATGCTGAGCAGCCGGCTGAGGGGGAGACTTCCACGGCACGGGAGAAGGTTTACGGGAAGGGTCAACAGGGGCTACGGAGCGACCATCCGGGGTCCAAGTACAAGTATGGTGTGTACGAGGAAGCGGATTCTAAGCCGCCCAACGGCGATGTCTCCAAGTAGATTCACTCTAGGTATCCTACTTCAAGAAATAAAGCCAGGAAATAAAATAAATTCTAAACACCACTATCATGATGCTGTCACGATGGTTCGTCTTATTCTTGATGAGCGGTAAGCGGGTGTCTAGTACGCAGAGGGCGGTAGCCGGGACTCTCCGGACTCGAACCCCGCGTTTACCGCTGGCAAGGTACCTACACGTGGCCCACATGCCATTTACGGCCGAGTAGGTCCGGGATCCACATGTGGGTCCCGGACGTCCTCCGGGTCCGTGAATCCGAGCACCTGGCTTACCCCCACGGTCCTCCATCCTGTGCCCGAAAAACGCATGTCTGCTAATACTACTACGCTAAACTCCAGCAACCTCATGCATGTTTAGTTGATTATTCCTCGTTTCTTATCGCACTTGGCGTCAGGGTGTTGACAATTGTCGGAAAACAAGTGCCATGCGTCATGTTCGTGAGGTATCACGCCATCTTCAAGGCGTTGGATCTACTCAAGCACGTAATTCTACAACCTCCACCTTCAATTCAACCTATCTACCCTGTCTCCGAGCCCGAAGCAAGGAGCAAGGTGGATTAGAAGAGAAGAAGATGGGACTTTTGAAGCGATTTCTTACATGTAGTTTGCCGGTCTAGACGAGTTCGAGTTTCCCCCCCAATTAATGATTAGGCCCATGGTTCCAGTGATCCAATTTCATCATTATACGAGTCCCGCTTCCCGCACAACTGACCTCAGCATCTGACATGTATATCAGAAGAAGAAGTGTCCTTTTGGCCCGTATTACTGCATCCTTACATTCTCCTGAACGACTTGAACGGAAGAATTCGACCATGACTCCCACACAACTCCCAACATCTCAAACGGTCCTGCTGCTTCATGGTCCCAGGCAGCCGTACGATGTTACAACGGGATACCCCTTACCCGAACTGCAAAATGGCCGTGAGATTCTCGTCCAGACAGAGACGTTGGGATTGAACCCAATTGACTGGAAAGCACCGTACGTTTCCTCGTGCTGATGCACGATTCACACTCCCCCTTGAGTTGAATGTGTAAAAGTTGGCTGATCGACATCTCAGGGACTTCAACTTTGGCATCCCCGAGTTACCCTACATTGCTGGTCGCGAGCTTGCGGGCCGAGTCGTGAAGACTTCACATTCAACACAGAGATTCAAAGTGGGCGATCTCGTAAGCCAACTCCCAAGATCTTATGCGGAAAAGAAACCACAGTCCAGACTAACTCATAAACAAACAGGTTCTCGTCATCTCAACCGACTATCGCGACCTTCGCAAGGCCGGCTTCCAACAATACGTCGTATCTTTCGACTTCAACACTGCCCGCATCCCTCCCAATATTTGTTCACAAGCCGGGGCTACAATAGGGGTTGCCTACGTAGCGGCCGTGTTATCGCTGGGCATCTGCATGGGTGTCGACTTTTCCAGCGTCCTCGATGGCCCCAACCTTCTACAAATAGTACGGTCTATCGAGCCAGAGGCCCTGCCCGAGGATATCAGGCGAGAATGCCGTTCCGGAATCGACTCACATGATAAAGCCGTGGCGGGAGACTGGATAGCAATATGGGGTGGTAAAGTTGATCTGTCCCAGTGTCAGTACACTCGCCTTCTGACGCACCGTCCAGGCTCATCCACCTCAGCCAACCTGGCCGTCCAACTAGCAAGGCTGGCAGGCCTCCGCGTCGTCACCATCGTCGACAAAGCAAAGCACGGGCTGCGGTTATCCAACCACCAACTCCTCAAGCCCGACCTCCTAGTCGACAGCCACGACCCCGACCGTGCCGTCGCAATCATCAAGGCCAATGTCGGCAAGAATCTCCGCTTTGCCCTCGACACGACGGGGCGGGAATCCGCTCGGTCTCTCTTGGCGGCGCTCTGGAAACCGTACGGTGACGCGGTGCTGGAGGACGGTCGGGCCACGCCGCCTCCTAGTCCCCCTGAGACCCCGCGGGGGTCGACGTCGCTGTCGAGCCACCTGATTGGGCTGACTGGCTTGCCCAAGGAGTCGGCGCCGAGTGGAGTGGTGTATCACAAGGTTCCTATCAAACTGTTCCACGAGGTACCCGCGGTTGGGGAGTCGTTGGTGTTGTGGTTGGAAAGGTTGCTGGAAATGGGGAAGCTTACACCGCCTGAGATCCTCGCATCTGAGTCTGGGTTTGACGGAGTTAACAGGGCATTAGACAGGATGAGGAAGGGAGATATTAGGGGGGGTCGTATGGTTGTGAATCTGACATAGTAGAATCCAGGGGAAAACAGAGCGTCATATCACTACGGAGACCTGAATATGTGGAATGTATCGTCGGATACAACTGCCTTCTCTGAGCATAATAATCCTTGTGTGAAACGAAAACCCAAGATTAATCTAATAGCCGGAAGTGTGGTCGATTGGGAGAGGGCCTGGATCATCCTCCCCCCCCCCCTGTTGGAGGGGTACTGCCTTGAGATTACGTGTTGACCTGTCTTGTGATTGAGAGCACGACCTTGGTAATCTTACTTTCATGGCTTTATCTTTAGATAAACGTTGTAGAGTTCAGCTCTAAACTATTCAATTACCATGGTATCACGACCTCTAGTTTGACTCTAAGTCGTAACACTTCCTGTTGACTTGGATCCTCCGGAAGGATCGGAATCGCCTACTATTAGAGACATATAAATCGCCTCGTCCTGAACAGATGAGCGCTCTTAGTTGGAATTGTGATATCGGGACATAGCGCCCCCTGTTAGAGCTCCTCTCCTCCGGATCCTTGTTTGCTTCTAGGCTGTTGCTCTACTGTTCCCTCCTAGTTGGTTACAAACCGATAATAGTCAAACGGCAGTAAAACTCAAAGCACATGCAGGTTTTCAAACTCGTATTCATTGTTCCAACAATAGCTGATAGTTTGCGCAAGCAACTTAGACTGCTTATAAATAGCAGGTCCCAATCTTCGTTTAGGATAACCTGTAACAGGTTTTATCAACTACTACACCCCCTTACACTGTTTACTAGGTTAAATCTTATTAAAGTAGTAACTATTAATATTATCATAGAACAACGGCGCTCACGATGATGAGCACCAGGCCGGCCGGTGTCCGGCCTGGGAGGTAGTAGAGGGTACTACCAACCTAAGCAGCCTCCGTCCTCCTTACCGGCGCTATGCCAACAATTTTGTCAAGTGGACTTCACTGGCAACTCTCCAGTATTTTCTATGCACAACGAGAGTCGTACAACATATCAGTAAGCCCTACCGTTGAAATCGGCCAATGTCTTCAGACTTTAACCCTGGCAACAATATGCAGACTTATCCGGGTCGTCAGCGAATCAGCGATGTCGTTGGGGCTTTTCAGAAGTCCCAGTGCTAGAAGCACCAGATTTTGTCAAGCGACGACGAAGTTCGATACTCGGTTTCTGATTTCTTTATTACATGTACGGCGTTTTATTATATCGACGTTTTCATAGTCACTACGCGTTAGATCCAGGATCTGATCGGAGACCGCGAATGCGCGATATCCCATGATACCCATCGCCATCCGTCCAGCGAACCGGCCTAACTGAACACCACAAAAAATATAGCCAACAACCAAAACCGGAAAGGAAGCTGGAAGCAGTACGCAAGGATTTGAAGGGGAGCAGCTGAATGGATATTAGTCTTGTGCGGGAATGTCGGTCAGGAAGCATGGAATCTTCGACGGGATCAGATACAACATTCGCCTGGACAAAGCGCTGGAAAAGAACCATCGGTTCGGCAGCAAGGGTTTCGATGTCGAACGATGGAATGTTCGCCGGGCCGAGGAGGCTCGCCAGCCTACGTTGGAGCACCAGGATCGCATGGACTCGTGGAGGGCAACATGGGCTACAAAGAACAGGAACCTTGGTGGGAAAACTACCTTAGCTAGGTACTTTTGTAACAGATTTCATCAAACTGATACGACCCCTTATTACGTAATTCCACAAGGTTGAATTCCGACAGTCAGACACGACATAACTAGCCACGTGACTCCATTTTGAGACAATCCAAACGACACGTCGCGACTTGCAAGTTCGTATTGAACCGTTTGACGAAATCTACCTTACTTTCTTGCTTGCCCCGAGACCGCGTACTATGTCCCGGCATCTGGGCATTCTGTTGTCATGGTATGCAAGTTGCCCGTCCCACATTCCTCTTCCCCGTACTAATGGCGATGGCCCATCAGAACGTCTCGTACAACTCGGCCTTACGGCAAAGCAGAGCCCTCCGGTCCGACATCGACCGACTAACAACCACATCCCAAGACCAACTCCTCACGCCCGCCGAGATTGGCAGCCTGTCCGCATCGCTAGCGTCCTTCTCCAAAACCATCGACGAATACAACCACCTGGCCCGCCAGGAGCTCGTCCCCAAGAAACAAGATGAGGCCTTCGAACGAGTGAAGCGGTTCAAAGACGACCTATCCCGTTTTCGGGGCCAAGTGGACGGCTTGAAGAAGCAGCGCGAAGAGGCGGCGCACCAGAACAATCGCACCGAGCTGCTCGGCCGCCGCCCGTACACGGCTGCGACACCCGAGAATCCGTACGCGCATGCCACCGCCTCGAGCGCGTCGGCGAGTTCGGTGCAAGCGAGAGCAGCTAACCCGTTCGGCGGGGCGGATAGGGCGTCTAGCAGTGGAGGCGGCGGCGGCGGGTACGGATTCGGGGCCGGCGACGCGACGAGGGAGCAGCATGCACTCCGCGAACAGAGCTTCTTCGCTAACACCAACGCATCCCTGGACGAGTACATCGCCAGAGGACAGGCGGTGCTGGGCGACCTGGGAGCCCAGAGGGATGTGCTCAAGAACACGCAGAGGAGGCTCTACTCCGTTGGCAATACGCTCGGCGTCTCGGGCGACACGATCCGCATGATTGAGCGACGGGCGAGGGAAGACAAGTGGATATTCTGTGCTGGAGTTGTGGTCTTCTTTCTATTCTGCTGGCTGTGTCTGCATTACCTGAGGTAGTTTTGCGTTTCTTAGACGAGTGTTTAGGAGCGGGGCGAATGGCGTTTGGGTTGGGCAACGCGTGGTGTTCCAGTTTGAAAAGGAAAAAGCGTTCCTGAACTAGGGGTTCTTCCCGAAGCTCAGCCCTGCAATCGTTTGTGTTGTCTTGGGTGTACCTTGATGATTTACTTCGTACACTGGGGATATCTCGGAACGTGACGGCATAAGACTTGGGATCGCAATGTCGGAAGTACTCTGTACAAACTGGCTGGTCTATTGCATCTATGCCTACTCGGTTCGTACTGCCGGCCACTGCTCATGAGGGGTCTGGAGCAACGGGGCCTGTGGTTTTTTTCTTCTTTCCTTCTTTTCTTTCTTTTTTCCTTTTCTTTTCATAACCCCTCCACCCCCCCCCTTATGTTCGTAGACGACCATCGTAGTCGGTAAGTAAGAAACGTCGAACCAGAAGCGTAAGGTACCTTGCCCAATGAAAACGACGATACCCCGTTAGAATCACGTGAACTTCTAACCGTCGGCTAATCCCCGGCAATCATTGGAGGAGGACCCCAACCGCCCGCCCTTGCGGGAGCTACGCAGCGGTCCAGCGTCCAGGGCCCGGGGTCTGGAGCGTCCCCATCTCCCCAGCCTCTCACCGTAACATGTCGCTCGGGATCTCCGCTCCACTCACCACCCCTACGACCACCAGGCTGCATACCCTTACTTTCTCATTTATTATGACATGACTGTGCCCAATCTGCCCCATCCCCAGGATCCTGCCTTGCCCGGAGTGCGTACGCCTGTCCTTAACAGCGTCTTTGCATCGCAGCTCCGACCAAAACGCGACACTCCTCACTCTGCGGCATAGGTGGCGATCGTCCGCCCTCCTCCACCTCTCTGAACCGCGGTCATTCGCCCGAACGATCTCACATAGGTACCGTCGTCCCCGCTCGCCTCCCAATGTCGGACGACGAGTTCTCCGGGACCGGTACCTCCAGCCTCGGCACGTCCGCCAACGCTGCAGATCGCGACAAGCGCGCGCCCCGGTTCAGCTGGACGCCCGCCTACGAGGCCACCTTCTTCCGGTCCCTCTGCGAGTCGGTCCAGCTCGGCCTGCGCGAGAACCACAGCTTCAAGGTCGAGGCATGGGACCGCGCGGCGGTTGCGTTGCAGGAGAAGCACAGCGCGTACCCGACGAAGAGTCATCTCGTCAACAAGTCCGACAATGCGCGCAAGAAGTTCCGCCTCTGGCGCGGGCTACGGGAGGATGCTGACTTTCTCTACAACCCGACTTCCAGGACTGTCACTGCGACGGAAGAAGCCTGGAAGGCGCACATAGAGGTGAGTCCTCCTCTTTTTTTTTTTTTTTTTCTTCCCGAGGTTTGGAGGCCCGAGACTCCGAGTTTCGTCTCGCCAAATTTCGTCGACATTACGCTGTCAATTCTGGTATTCCCAACATCTCCCGGATTCACACCTAATTTTTTTTTTTTTTTTCACTTTGGTTCTTTTTCTTTTTCTTCTCTTGTCACCTCGACACATCAGCCGTGTTCTACGCGCTACTGGTTAACTAATGCGCTTAACCCCTACAGAAAGAGCCCTTGTCACGAGCCTTACGAGGCCGACCGTTTGAACACGAGGAATACATGGAGATCTTGTACCCAGACGTTATTGGATCCGGTGGCGCTCCTAAGCGGATTATGAAACCGAAACGGAAGGGGCCAGATATGATCCAGGGCTCGGAGGAGCCAGAAATGCCCGGGACGGGGATTCTGGACCTACAAGTCGATTCGCCCTATCGTCCGCCCTCGCAACAAGGCATGCCGCCACCGCCCACACCACCACCACAGCAACGCCAGCGCCAACAACAACAGCAGCAACAGCAACAACAGCACAGCCAGAAACAGCAACAGCAAAATCAAAGTCAAAAACAACAGCAACAGCGACCATCAATAAGCCATCCCGGTGCCCCCCCCGCCCGCGGCCAGGTGCATGTACCACAGCAGCAGCAACGTCCAACATCTACCACCCTCCCACCCCGCACACACATTCCCGGAACGAGCGCGCTCACTCCGCCCGAAGAAACGGCTACACACGGGCGGAGAAGGTTCCCAGGCGCGCCTACCCCTCAGCAAGCCGTCGCCGGCGACACAGGGAAGACCTCATCAACCGCCGCGGGCCTCTCCTCTAGCACCAATAGCAGTACGGGGCAACCCCCCGAAAAGCGTCGCCGGACAACCACTTTCGCGCCAGGGGGCGCAGCGTCCTCGGGTGCTCGTGCGGGCTCCAGCACAACCAGCGGGAACAACGCGGCCAACACCGAAGCGGCGACAGCATCCGTGGCCATGGCCGGGAAGCAGCTTTTCGAGGACGGCCTGCTGAGGGTCGCGGAAGCGCTCAAGGCGCGCGCTCCGCCGCGGTGGCCGGAGCAGGCCATGGACATTTTCTTTCGGGATTTCGCCGACGAGGACATGGACCTCCAGCTTAAGATTGCGGAGAAGGCGCTCGCGGACGAGAATAAAGCCATGGTGTTTTGCAAGATGCCCCCTGCATTACGAAGGCACTGGGTGAAGAGGTTGAGAGAGTTGCATAACAATCGCGTGGTATGATACCCGGGACGTGGGAAAGTTTCAAGCGGACTCGAGATGCATTCGCCGTTTAGAGATTGAGCCGGACTTTGCGTGGGCGGTTAGGTGTTTTTGGAGTCTAGCGTTTGGACGGTCAGTGTGGGGGTTTGTCTTCTTCAACAGGTCTTTTTTGTTTGTTTGCAGAAAGGGTGGCAAGGCCAACGGGGGTTAGGTTTCATCACGCATACCATCGCTGCATGAATTCACGAAGTTACTTCTCTGAAAAATCCCACTCAAGGCGATTTGTGATCCGACGATGCCGACTACCTTGCTGAAACTGGGTTGCTCGAGTCGCGGCAATGCCAAGAGGATAACGCCGGCTGGCTGAGAGCGGAACGCATGTGTAACATTAAGTAGACCTATGGCCGCAAGTGGAAGTGCAACCCTAAATAAACCCGTAAAAACAGGAAGAGAAAAAGAAGTCGCGTATGCGAAATGGTGTGCTCCCTTTCAGCAGAGGTGGTGAGAACCCCCAGTCGGAAAGATTCCGATTCCGTCGACAGCATTAACATTGATCTCTCTCTTCAATCCCTACCGTTTCGTTTTATACAGGTACCTGTGAGGACCAAAATGTTAGCAAAGCATGGCCAAAGAAGGCGCGAAGTGGCGCGCAGCCAGGTTCGATCGCGGGTGCACGAGGCAAAAGGCAATATCTCACCTCCCAAGAATAGTCTCCCCGACTCCGATAAGGCCAAGAATACCGACACCAACACCAACGTGTTCCCAGTTGAGACGTCCGCGCTCGTACAGATGCCACGCCTTATATCCAAGGAACCCGCTGAGACCGACCACACCCACCAGGTTCGTGATGACAAGGGCGCCGGCACTCCCGTCGCTCAGGGCGGCGAACTGGCGCGTCAGCCAGTTGTCGGCCTGGCGGCCCTTCTCGACGGCCCTCTTCTTGGCCGCTCGGGCTTTGGCGCGGGCCTCTTCCTTTTCCTTCTCCCCCTCTTCCTCGCGGCGGATGCGGTCTGCCTGGGTCTCGGTCTTGATCTCCTGCTCCTTGTAGTCCGAGGGGACGGTGCGGACGGAGGGGGCGTCGACGTCTACCAGCGAGGACGTGGAGGTTTCGACGTCGGTTTGGATGGAGGGAGGCACGGGGGCAGCAGCCTGAGGTACGAAAGATGGGTTAGTTAACGTTGCGCGACGAATGGTGCCAGTTGGGGAGGAGAGGAAACGGGAGGGAGGGGTGAAGGTTGGCGTACCTCTTCCGCGGTCTGCTTGGGACCCTTGGCGGCGACGTCGGCCCAAGATTCGGACACTGCTGGCGCGTTAGAACCAGCTGAACGATGGTCGATAGGGTAGGAGGCGCACTCACTGGTAGGATGGGATGATGTGGTCAAAGAAAAAGGCACGTGGATGCTTTTCTTAGGTGGTAAGTCAAAGCTGTGCGACAGATGGTACTTGGGAAGTCGACGCAAAGGTCAGAAGGAACGGAAGGAATATAGGCGGTGATGTTTCTCTCAGCTATTTAAGTGGTGGAGAGGGAGAAAAGGGAAAGGTTGTTATTTGCTAGGCAATGTTTTAAAGGTCGGGGTTTGGGGGGTTTGGGGGGGTGGTTGCATGGAAGCCGTTGTTCCATGTCCCCAAGGGACTTCGTCATAGGCGCAAGCTAAGCTGGGAACTTGTTACTGCGTCTGGCAATGACGTCTGCAGATCGTATCTATCCCCACTTTGGGGACCAGAAATGCACCATAAATGCACCATAAATGCACGGATACAGTAAGGTACCGAGGTACTACTCAGAGGTACCCGTACGAGTCAGGTACCATAGGTACCTTATGAAAGCAGCACCGCAGGCGACCCGGTATCCGGTCAATCCTCACCCGTCCCGAAATGACCCGTATCGACAACGTGATGCTTACTGCAAGGGCCTCAAAATCTCCCAATGGCCTAAGGTACGAAACGCAGCACCATGTAAGGTACCTAAGGTAGGTAAGGTAGATAAGGTGGGAAAGGTGATTCGTTATCAGATTGTTAGTACAGGTGGCAGGCTAGTACCTACATTATGAATACATGTAAAATCCCCCAAGGGACAGGCTCAATGTATGCATCTACAGCTCCCCATCCAAGTCTATTCCCAAAACGCCCGGCCTTGATGCTACATGACAATTTACTCCGTCTTCACAACCACGTCCGTGGCGTCTGGTGCTCGGTCCTCCTTGTCCTTGAAGGTGTTCTGGGCCTGGCCTGACTCGGAGCGGTCTTGTGTCTCGGGTGTCGCGGGGGCTTCTCCGTTCGTCGCCTCTTCTCCGGTCGAAGAGCTGGCCGTCGCAGACTCGGGCAGCGAAGCATCATCACCATCCGTGTTTTCGGCAGCCGCACTCTCGGCATCGCCGTCCTCACCCGCTAGCTCGGCATCGTAGACCTCGGGGTACTTCTTGAAGCACTCTTGCATTCCCCTGTACCGCTGTTAGTGGATGACCCTATTTCTAGCGGACGCCACCATGCAACCGCCAGCCGTCATGGAAATGGAAATGGGGAAATGGAAATGGAAGAGGGCCGTACTGGAACTTATCAATGCAGTCCATCCCCTTGGGCTCTTCCTTGGAGTAGACAAAGCAGCTGAACGCCGCCTTGAACTCCTCTCCGCAGGGACCATGCGCCATGCCCCCGAGACACGGGCAGTCCCAATTGATCTCGCCCGTCTCGGGGTTGAAGGCGCCCTGCTGACCTGCCTCCTCTTCCAGAGCCTCCGGGGAACCAGGTTCAAGTAGTTCGCGCGTCTCGGTCGGCTCCGCGGGGCCGGCATGGTCGTCGGATGTTTCAGTCGGGGTCGGCTCGGGTTCCTTGGCCTCCTTGGCCTGGAGACCGGCGGGCTTTTTTTGTCTCTTCTCCTCGATCACAGTGTCGACGGTCTTCAAGTCGGACTCGGGGAACTGGGGCGGCGCGGGTACGGTATGAGCTAGATGGCCCCCCATGAAAGAAGTCAGCAACAGTAGACTCGCGCAACGGGCAACGGGCAACGGGCAACGGGCAACGGAAACATCGGAATAGACGCACGGGGTTGGGGTTCTTCGGCGAAGATAGGGCTGGTGTTGTAGTAGTAGACGGCCGCGGCAGCCAGTCCCCAGCGCACCATGGTGCTTTTCCACGTCCTCGGCTTGTCGGTGGGTGCGGTGGACGCGAACCGGCGGCCGCCTGCGGAGCGGAGGCAGGAGTGACGGAGTGCGCTCGCCGCGCGCGGCGTCGACCGCACGGCTTGACGATACATGGCTATGCTTTAGATGAGATGAAATACACGACAGAGGAAAGCAAGTAAGGGATTGACTGCAGACAAGCACGCGGCGGGTCGAACTATGATGCGTCCAGGGAAAGAAAAGAAAATTAAATTAATAGAGTCCGACGAATTGAGATGGATTAGTAATTGACTCCGTACTCGTTGCGCTGTATCCGTACCTGTTTATTGACCTGATGAATAAGCAGGTCAGGGGGGCTAAAAAATTGTGGATGCGGATGAGGGGACAACCGACAACCAGCAGCTTCTGAGCTGCTCACCAAGGACGCATGATGACAGACAAATCAACGCATTCTCTTTTCACTTGTGCATTATCTGATGAATAACTCGACGATTCATTATAACGGCTGCATAACTCACATCTGAGACCACATGTGTTACATCTGAGTCGGTGTCTTTCTTATGCATTGCGGTTGTTACTTGTACTACCAGGCCTTTATAAGCGACACGGTCTCAAATGGCCGAAAACCTCAAGCCATGACCACCTCTTCCACATTCGACTGGAATCCCGCGACCCTTTTTCTAGATGGAAGTTTCCTCTCACAGTTCGCCCTCGTCATCTTGAATCAACCTCTGAGAAACGGCGAAACCTTGGACACACTGTGGGACAATGGTAGGTATCTCATGGATTGCGAAGAGCAGCCCCATGTCATGTTGATGATGTGACACCTGCTAACAGCAAGCCCCCCCCCCCGAGGTAGCCTTGATACGGGTGGCCGCAGACGGCGGGGCGAATCGCCTTTTCGATCTCGCTGCCAAGACCAGAAATACCGGAGGTCGCACTCGGTATGTACGTGCCAAAAATCGTCAAGCATACCTACCCGTCCCAGAACGGAGCGCCAGTGTCTTGTACAAAGCTGACAAAAAGCCCCTTAGGATGACCTAGACGCCATCGTCGGCGACCTGGACTCCCTCCTCCCCTCCGTGCGCGCGCACTACGCCTCCCTCGCGGACCCAACCCACGTCATCCACGACGCCGACCAGGAGTCCACCGACTTTGGAAAGGCCGTCTCCTGGATCCGCGCGCGACACCCGCGCTGCACGGACATCGTGGCCCTGGGGGGCCTCGGGGGCCGCGTCGACCAGGGATTGAGCCAGCTGCATCATCTGTACCTGTTCCAGCCTGGCCCCGGTTATGAGCTGGGGCGGGTGTTCCTCCTGTCGGGCCAGAGCTTGACGTTCCTCCTTAAGCCGGGGACGCATCGCATCCGGGTGAGGGACGGTGGGGTCGGTTTCTTCGGCAAGCATGTGGGCATCGTCCCGATTGGGGAGCCGAGCGTCATCACCACCAAGGGGCTGGAGTGGGATGTCGAGAACTGGGAGACGCAGTTTGGTGGGAGGATGAGCACCAGTAACCATATCTTGCCGGACACCCAGGTCGTCGAGGTTGAGACTACGAGGGGCGTGCTGTTCACGGTCGCGCTGCGGGAGGCGGAGTGAGGGACTGTGTCGTCAAAGCCACCATTAGAGTCATATACGCTTTGGGCAGCTACAATCAGTCCGAAAGGCCCGAGTGTTCTACGCGATGCGATGATGTAAAGTGCTTCGGTTTTCGTCAGGCCACTGTAGCTATGCCTTTGCTCAACCCAGAAAGGTACGTAGTGACAGAGGCCCGGGTGATATTTGTAGCGATAACTCGTTTCAGGAGGGAAGTGGTGACATTATATCAAATGTCACGTGACAGTACCGGATCATAAGTTTACCTTACACCGCAAGTTTGCTCTCGAGTGAACTTGAACTCTTCTTATGAGTCTTATCTGAGGCAGGCAAGGGCGTCGTCACCTCATGATATAATTTATTCTTGCGCTTGCCCTCTATCCCTCCCTGTTCATTCCTTCTATCTGCCTTCCAGTTCTTCGGTCTCCAAATCATCTTCTCCTGCCATTCCTCCCAATAAAGCACTGTTCAGCTTTGACGCCTTCAGCTTCTCATCCCACTACGCATCGACCAGCCCTATCCAAGTATACACTGTATTGTTACCTAGTGACTGGGACGAGTCAATGAACCAGAATGAGAACAGTGAACCCCAAGTCACCGACACGGGGTTCGAACTCCCCGAGGTGGCCGACCCCGCTCCCTACACAGAGACCATGCGAAAGAGGATCGGCGGCATCGGGGTCAAGTTGAAAAGAGGCGACGAAGTGAGTCCCGACGCGATGCGGGACCTGGTCCTCTTCCTGAACTGGTCCGAGACCCAGCAGCCGCACCAAGTGGCCCACGCCGAACAGAAGCGGGTGGCCAACATCCTCCAGTTCATCCACGACCACTCCGGCGCAGACCCGCAGGCCTCTTTTACGACGGGGATGAAGAACCGAGCGGGGCGGCTCTACGAAGAGTGGAACCGTCACCTCCCGACGGCGGCGGGGGAAGCCGCAGAACCCGCGACGTACGGCAATACGGCGGCAGCACCTCCTCGCCGTGCCAGGCCGTCCACTGCACCGAGAGTGGGGGGTCTCATGTTTCCCCCTCGCGACGACCCCATCTTCGGCGACCACGGCATCATGCACGGCGTGATCTACAAGCGCGGCTCGCCCCGAACCTGGTGCCTCGACCCCCGGCTGCAGCGCGAAAAACGCAGCGCCCAAGTCGCCGGCCACAACGGCCTCTCGGCGGGCGACTGGTGGCCCATGCAGATCGTCGCCCTGTTCAACGGCGCCCACGGCATGTCCCAGGGCGGTATCTCCGGCCACCACGAGTACGGCGCCTACTCGGTGGTCGTCTCGGGCTACTACGCGGATCTCGACCGGGATCTGGGCGACACCATCTTCTATTCCGGCCCGGGGAGCCATAATCACCGGAACCCCAACACGCCGCCCTCCGGCACCGCGCTCTTGGAGACGTCCCTGGCGGATGGGGGTCCGATCCGGGTTCTGCGGTCGGCGTCGAGTGGGGGCGGTGAGAGCCCCTGGGCGCCTCCGGTCGGGATCAGGTACGACGGTCTCTATCAGATTGCGGCGGTCAGGACGCGGCATAATCGGCATGGGGGTATCTACAAACAGTTTGAGCTGCGTCGGTTGCCGGGCCAGGAGAGTTTGGAGAGTTTGAAGAGCCGATCTCCCACCACGCTGCAGAAGCGGCAGTTCAAGGCCATCAAGCTTGCGTACTAGGGATGTTCAAAAGCGCGAGTCTGCGTTGGTTGGTTTAGGTCATTTGCATAGCGACGGGGTTGTGGCATATTGCCAGCCCGGGGTTTAGGGCTAGGTAATTGATTCTCTTGCCTGTGCTGTTTGCATTAAGTCTGCCTCGTCTCCTCGGTCCTACACATCCTTATACTCGTGCTTGCCAACCCTTTCACACAGCTCTTTCAAAACACGTCCAGCCCATGCAAAGTCCTCCGTATCGAGATAGACCTGGGCGCTGAGCCGGACATACCACTTCCCCGCATGGCAGCAGATGGGAATAAAAGTCTTGTACTCATCCATCAACTTGGAGAGCATCCAAGTGACGGCCTGGGCGGCATCCTGCGAAGGGAGGACAACGTATCCGTCAGACCCCGAGGAGGGCGCGACAGCATCCGGACTCGTCTTGATGGGGAGGAATATGTTGACCATGGCATTGTTGGTCAGGGTGCCCTTTTTGTTGTCCAGGACCTGCGTGCCCAGGATGTCGGCCACCTTGCTGCCCCCTTCCTTGGCCAACGTCCACAGGTACTCGATGATCCTCCGCTCGCCTCCCAGGACGTTCTCGCGCCACTCCAGCGCGTCCTTGACGGCGAGGTACGCAGCGTTGTCCAGGGTGCCGACGAACTCGAAATTGCTCACAAAAGCCGGCTTGGCCCCGTCCTGCGGCAGCGGGTTCGCCCGCGCGGCGCCCTGCGACCGGTACCCGTGGCTCGTGGGCAGGGTCGAGGTAAGCAGGTGCTGGTTCCGGACGGGGACGTGGAACAAGGCGCACGCCCGGGGGACGTGCAGCCACTTGTGGCAGTTGGAGACGAAAAAATCCGGGTCCAGCGCGGCGAGGTCCAGCGGCAGCATCCCGATGCCCTGGGCGCCGTCTATCAGGCTGAGGACGCCCAGCTCGCGACACGCCCTCGTCAGTTCCTCAAAGGGGAAGCGCACGCCCGGCTGGGAGACGACAACATCATAGATGGCCAGGCGGGGCCGCTTGCCCTCGGCGCGCGACGTGGCCACGGCGTCCCGGAAGGCTTGCACGATGTCGTCGTCCTCGAGCGGGTAGGCGAGGTCGACGGAGCGGCTGGAGACCAGGCCCCGGGCCGAGTCGACGGCGTAGTCGACGGTCTTGCCGCAGGCGCCGTAGATGACGGAGAAGCAGAGGATCTCGTCCCGGCCGTCGGCGTCCCAGACGAGGTTGCGGAGGACGACGTTGACGGCGGTGGTGGCGTTGGGGACGAAGACGACGGTGTCGAGCGGGGCGTTGACGAGTTGGGCGACGGCGGCGCGGGCGTCGTCGAGTTTGCGGGGGTATTCGTAGCGGAGGAAGATGTCTTGGACGGCGTCGGCGCGGGCCCTGTATTCTTGGACCTTGGCGTGGACTGCGCGAGGGGCAGCGCCGAAGGATCCTGGAGGTGTTAGTGAGACTGGGTGTCTATGGACGGTAGGGGACTGACGTACCGTGATTGAGGTTGCGAAACTCGGGATCGAACGGGAACTCTTTCTTCAACGCCGATCCGAACTGGACGAGTCCGTCGTTGGACTGTTCTGAAGAGCCCATGGCTGGTGTGTAAATTGAGGTTTCAAGTTTCCAGGGTTGGGTTTCGAACTTGGATGGCAGACCAAGGCGTCACCGTGTCACGACTCGGAGCAAAAGTGTTGATGTTTCTGCGAGTCGATTCTCCGCCGATGGAATATACGGATAGTATTGAAAGGGAAGGACATCAATTCGGGTGTCTCCTTTTTGGTATTCACATCGTGCAGAAGGCCTTGTCAGTTGACTCACGGTGATGAGTCGCAAATGGAGACTTCGGACAACGCAGCAGGGTCCCTGTAACATCAGGTACCTTACTCACCCCGCCAAGGTCCGCCACAAGTCATCCAAAGGGCGCGAGGTACTGAGTAAGGTACCCGGTAGTAGGTAATTAAGGTACTGACTGCTACATAGCCGCAGTATTGTAATCTGTAATCGTTCAACGACCCGGTACTAGCCGAATGAGAGCTCGACAGGCGAGAGGAAGAGGATAAGCCGGAGCCGGACCAACACTGAAGGTACCTTGCTCCGTAATTAACGCGTCAACGCGGGACGATGCACCACGCCGAGGACGCCAATCAGTGATATGGAAGATAAAATACACGAGGTAAGCAGTAGTTATAAGTAATTATGGCCCTGCAGAAGAGGCGCGAGCGGCATAGTTGGTCATGTGGTTTAGCGTTGATGGTCGAGTGCAAGTCGAGCATGTCGGTCAGGAACGGAAGGTATTTAGGAACGACGTATTTATTTGATTCCAGAATAACGGAGAATAAGATACCTTATTTTAGAGAGAGGGACGAGAAAGCCGACGATGCAAACCGTTCACATGCCGTTGCTGACTAAGCTGCTCTCGGTAGACGTCGGTACTACCTTAATGCTGGCTACCTTACCTTAGCCAACACGTCAGCCACGAACAAAAATGCTAAAATACCTTACTGACACTGCGACAAACTCCGTACACAGAGGTCGCGTATCTTACGAGTCGTCCGTTCCAACTCTGGACCTAGGGTAGTTACCTGCCATTGAATCTTGAGCGGCATAGCAGTGACATTGGCTTGAATTGGAACTAACTCTGTCGGTGTTACTGACCAGTCGAGACTCGAAAGTGTATCTATAGTATGGATACATCAGACCGCTGCGTACTATCGAAAAGGGAAATGATAAATCGGAGCCCGGACCGGAAGATAAATTGGGATGAATGAGCTACAGCCACCGTACAGACAGGCAAGGCAGCTTTACGTCGGACGTGTCGCGTACCGGTTGCGTGGAGCTATATCATATATCGCACCGAGGCAGCAATAGGGGTATACCATATGACCGTATGAATACCTAAAAGGTGTAGATGTAGATGTAGATGCGCATTGTTGATTGGGGAGCTGATGGCTCTGTTCTGTGTACAAGGTGTATTGAATACTCAATGTCGAATCATGAATCCTGTTCCGCCGTTGTCGAGCTTCATCTAGGTAGGGCAACCCACGGACAGCTCAGGGACAGCCCAGGGACAGCCGTCCAGGGACAAACTTCTTTCCTCGTCAGCCCGCAATCAGCGCTACCTAACTACCTTCTATTCGTTCGCTAACTGGCAACAAGGCGCCGAGTCGCTGACCGGCCCTACCAGATAACCAAAACGGCTGGATTCTCATCTACAAAGTAATTCTGAATGACCATGACCCGGATGGCGACAACACCAGACTGACCAGAGACAGCGTAGCCTCAGTTCGACCAGACTAGGTGCGGGAGGGCCGAGAGGATTATATTATGTATCCGTGTCCGGAAGAGGGACCGGAGCCCGTCCAATATGTCGTAGTAACAGGTTTCATGCGCGGCGGGGGGGAATGGAAAAAAAAGAAGAGGAAAAAAACAGAGGGGGCAACGGAGGACAGTCGCTGCAACCCCCTGGGGTTAACCCCACACGGGGCTCCTGCTTCCGTTACCCTTCATAACAAACAACCCCTAACATCCACACTGTCGCAACCAAAGATATAAGCCTCCAATCAAAAGAACGAACCATGGAGCGGGGCCATGTCCGCCGAGGCCGATGTGCCAGTTCGGGACTTGTAAAGTACGCCGCCCAGCACGGCGATGGTAACCTGTACGGAGCGCCTCTTCAAAGTGGCATCGCAACAGTAATAGGGATAGAGAGAGACGGTGTGACCGTGAGAGCCCATCGACAGGGCCTTCCCTAAAACCTGGGTCGTGCTATACCATTACCGGGTCGTGGGTTTCTTACTACGCTCTATGGCGAGCCGGTCGAGCTCCGTCTGCTCAGGCACGTCGTCCTGGGCTGTCAATTCGGCCCTTTACGGACGGATAAGCCATTTCCTTGTTTGCTGAGAATCCGGGAATCGAAGCAGGTAGGTACTTCGTAGGTAATAGATCGAACCCTGCTGTCAAACATGTCAACCGACCCCGCAGTGCTCTACCCTTCCGGTAGTTGGGAGGGTGATATTCCGTCCCGTCGATCCCACCCGGTCTCCTGAGCTCTCCCGTCATATAAGACCGGACGCGCCCGCTTACCCATAGCGTCCTCCCCTCCCCTCCCCTCCCCTATGCCTAGGCCCTGCCACTCACAACAAGGACCGACACCCTTACCCCGTCGTTGTCGTCGCCCAACATGCACCCCCCCAAGCTGATCGCAACGTTGGCCGCCTGCGCCGTCCAGGTCCTGGCGCAACACGGCCCCCGAACGTGGCCCGAGGCCTACGACCTGGCCGAAGCCGCCTTCGCCCGGCTCTCCCAGTCCGAGAAGATCGGCATCGTCACCGGCATCGGCTGGAACCAGGAACCCCTCGGGCCCTGCATCGGCAACACCAGCCCCGCCTGGTCCATCGGGTACCCGTCGCTCTGCCTCCACGACGGGCCCCAGGGCATCCGCTGGGCCGACGGCGTCACCGCCTTCACGCCCGCCGTCCAGGCCGCCTCGACCTGGGACCGCCGCCTCATCTCCGAGCGGGGCACGTTCCTGGGCGAGGAGTTCCGCGGCAAGGGCATCCACGTCATCCTCGGCCCCGCGCCGGGCCCGCTCGGGAAGAACCCCAACGGCGGCCGCAACTGGGAGGGCTTCAGCCCGGACCCGTACCTCCAGGGCATCGCCACCGCCCTGACCGTCACCGCCACCCAGGACGTCGGCGTGCAGACCGCCGTGAAGCACTTCATCGCCAACGAGCAGGAGGTCAACCGCGAGACCATCAGCAGCAACGTCGACGACCGCTCCATGCACGAGCTCTACCTGTGGCCGTTCGCCGACGCCATCCACGCCGACGCCACCAGCGTCATGTGCGCCTACAACCGCGTCAACGGCACGTACGCCTGCGAGAACGACGTCGTGCTCACGCGCCTGCTCAAGGAGGAGATGGGCTTCCCCGGCTACGTCATGAGCGACTGGTTCGTGGCGCAGCAGACGACCGCCGGGTCGGCCAACGCCGGCATGGACATGGCCACCCCGGGGTCCGACTGGGGCGGCGGCAACCAGCTCTGGGGCCCGCGCCTCCAGCAGGCCATCGACCGCGGCGACGTCCCGCAGTCGCGCCTCGACGACATGGTGAGGCGGATCCTGGCCGCCTGGTACCTCGTCGGCCAGGACGAGGGCTTCCCCCCCGTCGACTTTGACGTGGACGTCCAGGCCGACCACGCCCGGAATGTGCGCGACGTTGCGCGCGACGGCACCGTGCTGCTGAAGAACGACGACAACATCCTGCCGCTGCGGTTCCCCGGCCGCGTCGCCGTGATCGGGTCGTCGTCGGTCCCGAACCCCAACGGCATCAACTCGTGCTTGGACCACGGATGCGACCGCGGCGCTCTCGGCATGGGCTGGGGTTCCGGCGCCGTGATGTACCCTTACTTCGTGGCGCCGCTTCAGGCCATCCAGGAGCAGGCGCGGGCCGACGGCTTCGAGGTCGTCAGCAGCGCCACGGACAGTGTCAACGCGGGCGCCAACGCGGCGCGGGGCGCCGACGTGGCCATCGTGTTCATCACGGCCAACTCGGGCGAGGCGTACATCACGGTCGAGGGCAACCCGGGCGACCGCATCGACCTCGACCCCTGGCACAACGGCAACGAGCTGGTCGAGGCCGTTGCCGCGGCCAACGAGAACGTCGTCGTCGTCGTGCACAGCACCGGCCCCGTCATCCTCGAGCGCATCCTCGCGCAGCCGAACGTCAAGGCCATCGTCTGGGGCGGGCTGCCGTCGCAGGAGAACGGAAACGCGGCGGTCGACATCCTCTGGGGCAAGGTCAACCCGAACGGGAAGCTGCCTTACACCATTGCCCGGTCCATGCAGGACTACAGCAGCACCGTCCAGTTCGAGGGGCTCCAGGATAATTTCGAGGAGGGGCTGTACATCGACTACCGACACTTTGATGCGGAGGACATTGCGCCGCGGTACGAATTCGGGTTTGGACTCTGTAAGTTTGATTTGACCTCCCTTCCCCCCGTTTTTCTTTTTTTTTTTTCTCTAACCTCAGCAAACCAGCCTTCACCACGTTCGGGTACTCGGACCTTCATATCGACGCGGAACTCGACCCCGGCCCAGCGTACGGCGACATCATCCCGGGCGGACGCGCAGACCTCTTCGGCGAACCGGTGAGGGTCGACGTGACCATCACCAACACGGGCGACGTGGCAGGCGCGGAGGTTCCGCAGCTGTACCTCGGCCTGCCCGAGAGCGCGCCCCCGACGCCGCCGAAGCAGCTCAGGGGTTTCGACAAGGTGTGGCTGGCCCCCGGAGAGTCGCAGGTCGTGACTTTCGATCTGCGGCGGAAGGACGTGAGTTACTGGGACGTCGGTCTGCAGGAGTGGGTGGTGCCGCTCGGAACCTTCCGCGTGTTCGTCGGTTCCTCGAGCCGAGACATTCGGGCGGAGGGAGAATTCGTCAGTGGGTGCTTGTAGGTGCGGAGTAAAAGCTGCAATGGGAGGCTATGCGCCTCGAGAGCGGGAACGAGCCAGTTGTGTTAGAGGTGTGTAGCGAGTGTGGAAAGGTGTTGTGTTTGGTATCGACTGTCGACCTTGGCGACGGACGTCCCACAGACTGAGAAGACGGGAAAAAGCGGTTTTCCATAGTGGTCTTGATCATGCTGATTAGACGACTATTCAGATTGGAAGCGAGTCCAGGTTGATGGTTGGACTGGCGTGTCAAATTTGTTTGTTCTATCCAAGCGGAGCTGCACATGAAGCAGTCATGGACAGTACGCAGCCATTCGGGCAAAGGCTTGTGACGAGAGAAATCAAAATCGATCTGGGCCGATGGTACTCTGGAGCGCCGTGACGACGTTCGGCCGGTGTGTTAAGTATGTAAGTGCGTAAATGTGTAAATGTGTAAATGTGTGTAAACAACAACAATCACAGAGGGTTGGAAGGTAGGAAGGGTTGAGAGTCGGAGACTCGGAGGTCGAGATGTCATGGAAAGTGAAAAGTGGGGTTGACGGATGACACATGCAGGAAAGAGAGGTCATGTGACCGTCTCGGACGCTGTGCCGAGTTAGGTAATACGGGGTCATTGGCAAGGGGCTGAGGTGGCTGTGCCCCTGACCACACGACCGCCATAGCCTCCAAAACGTCAGCAACCCGGAGTTCCGGCATATCACATGGGACATTACGTACTAGGTACGTAGCGTATCTTTGAATAGAGCGATACGGTCGGTTGGCTAGAAGTTATTGATTAAGGGAAAAACTAACAGACTACTAGATACAGGGAGGAGTAGAATAAGTAGCCACCCTAGGTGTGGTTACGTAACCACCCTAACAACCTTTCTCTATAAGGTACCTGACCTTGAGGTACCTTACAGTTATATTACACTTACTCCGTACTCCAGTATTTCCTCATATCTGCTTCAGTGAGCACTGGAATGCCCACGGCTATCTGTAAAGGCCGAGTACGCGGGTGGCGAAGGACCGGGTGACAAATTGTCTTCACTAAAGTCCCACCAGCTGACCCTGAAAGTCAGATGTCCCAGGCGCCCCGAGTACACTAAGGTACAGTGTACATGTAGTCTGTATTCTGCTCTGCGCCTCACAAGCTAATCCCAAGCCCAGCCCAGCTAAACCCGAAGCGCAGGGAGGCCACGCCACCACCCCGACGCTTGGGAACCCCCTTAGTTTCCGTATAACACTTCTTGCCCCCTTCGTTCGTTTTCCCCTATTTAAACCAGTCGCCCTCACACGTGAACACATTCTCTACCTCTGGAACTTTCCACCTGTCATCTCCCCACTCGGCTCAGTCATATCCACCACCTATCCCACCGACTCATCATATCCATCTGTCAAACTCCTACGATACCGGTATCCAAGTCCCATCGGCCCATCTCACCCACGTCCATTTGCCAAAGAAGAAAAAATGTCAGCTCAACACTACTACGGCGGCGGCGGAAGCCAAAGCGGCCAAAACCAGAGCGGCTACCCCCCGCAGAGCGGCTACCCCCCGCAGAGCGGCTACCCTGCCCAAGCCCAGTATAGCCACCATCAACAACAACCATCCCCCGGAGCCGGCTACCCCCCCCAGCCGCAGTACACCCAGCAGCAACACCACCCGCAAGCCTACCCCCCTCAGCCGACCTACGGCTCGCCGGCCCCTTCCACCTCCCACCTCTCGCCATACCCAACACCACAAACAGCCCCTAACCCGACCGCCCGGCCCTCAAGCGCCCAATCCCACCACTCCTCCTCCTCCTACTCCTCTCAACAGCACCAGCAACAGCAACAGCAACAGCAACAGCAGCCCCAGGGCAACGACCACCAAACCCGCACACCAGACCACCAAGGCCCTCCCGGCTCCGACGCCCAATTCGGCGAAGACGGCGACCGCGGCATCCTCGCCACAGTAGGCGGCGGCGCAGCAGGCGGCTACATCGGCAGGAAGTTCATGGGCGGCAAGCTCGGCACCGTGGCGGGCGCCTTGGTCGGCTCCCTCGTCGCGAACAAGGTGGAGGACCGCTTCACCGGCGGGAAGAACGACCAAACCCAACATTACCCGCAGCAACACCAGCACGGTTACCAGCACGGCTACCAGGGCCAGGGTGGTTACGGCCACGCCCCTCAGCAGCAGGGTTATGCCGGCTCCCCGTACGGCAACCAGCAGGCTGCGCAGAGTAGTGGTGGGTTGGGTGGTATGGTGCAGAATTTCCTTGGGAAACGTTAGCCGGGGTGCGTGTGCGTACTTGGGGTGGTAAACCAAGGGAATAGGGGCATAGGGCATAGGGCATAGGGGAATTAGGATCGATGGTGAGAGGAAGTAGCCGAGCTTTCATCAATACGGTTTGCTGATACGGCTGGTTTGTAAGACATTTTACGTTGATTTGTCTAGTAAGAATGTGTGAAGCACTTCGTCACGAACTGAACACACTATGATCGTACTCGGCACCAATTTCAAACCCTGTTTCCGGTTATGGACGAAAAAATAAAATAAAATAAAATAAAATAAAATACCCTCTGCCCCAGGACACGAGGTTTCACGACAAGACAACTGATGATTGGCATAACCGTGATATCCTTTGAATGCATCGCCTCCAGTTCGCTCAGATATATAGAGTGCTGGAATATCTCGCTCAAGTACATGGTCTGGCAGGTTATAGACCAATAGATCAACGACAACCCGTGCAGCCCAGCCTGTCCATCACTAAAGAGAGAAAAATGGAGGAAAAGGAAAATAAGAACATTAAAAAAAAAAAAAGAGGAGACGCCGCAATGTCCTGTCACCGGATGCTCCCTCGTTGAATATCCAATGCGTCGCTGAGAGAGCGGTGGATGGATTAACAGACCATAAAAACAACCATTTACTAATCAGTTGTAACACCGCCCCGTAGTACCAAGTGTCGGAAGAAAAGAAAACAAAACAAAAAAAAAAGAAGCTCGTCCGGAAACCTTAGGATCCCACAGTCCCTGCTCTCGCCCGTCTCTTCGGAATCTGAATCTCCTCATCATCCGAGCTGTCGTTTTCTGCTCGTTGAGCAACACGATCCAGCATCCGTTCGATGTCCTCGTCCGACAACCGTGGCCGTGGCCTCAGCTGACTGCTTCCCAGCGCAGCAGGTAAGGAAAGCTGCATGCGGTGGCCAAGCCCGAGCCCGGGAGTGTATGGCGACATGCCGGAGTGAGACCCGTTCACCCTTCGCCGCACGATGCTGCGCGGCGTGCCCGACTGCGAATCACCGTCGACGTCCATATCGCTGGCTGCCGTTCTCCCGCCGGGGCTCTTCTCGAAGCCGACCTTTTTCTGAGACGGCTGTGGCCGGCGGTCCGGGAGACTCTTGCGCGGCTGAGAAGTAGGCAAGGCATGCCGTCCCGTCGGAGCATGTTGCGACGATGGTGCCGATGCCGATGCCGATGCCGATGCCGACATGGGTGGCGATGTGGCAAAGGTGTGCTTCGTGTTCGTCGAGTTGCCCGGACTGCTCATAAAAAGCAGCGTCTCGATCGCATCCTGCTCGCGCACGTTCTGGTGCGGAGAGAAGAGGATGGGGTCGGACACAGATGCGGGTCCCGGATGTTGTTGGTTCGGTGCATGCGAAGACGCGCTGTGGGACATGGAGAGAAGGGTCGGCGTGTACCGCGGGTTCGAATTTCGACGGGGGTGGTGTGCGGCGGTCGGACGCGAGGGCTGAATAGGAGCAGGGGAGGCCAGGCCAGGACTGAGGTGTGCAGGGGTCGGCGGCGACGCGGAGTCGTGGCCACCCGAACAAGCCTTGTTCCCGTCCCTCCAAAAGGTATCGTAAGCGACCGGGCTCAGATTCGAACCCGTGGGTATTGCGCTGGGATGCCCATTCCCGTTCCTGACGGCTGGGACGAAGCGAGGACTGGCCGAGGAACAGGAACCCTGGCGACCGTTGAGGGTGGAATGACTCGAGGTGGGTGAGGCCGCGTGGGAGGCCAGGGATTCGACTTCGTCAATGGAGTGTGACTGCCATCCATGGTTCAGCTTGACCATGGCATAGGATAATCGGGTCTTCAGATCGTTGGATAACTGTGGGGATTCCTGTTAGGCCGGTCCGTAGATAGTGACAGAGGCGGAAAGAGAGAGGGAGAGCCAAGCTGTCCTATACTGCTACTCACATCACCGATCGTGCTGGTCGTGGTTGACGCGACCGAGACGGTACTCGCGTTTCTCGAATGACCCCCCCGACCAGGGGGGGACGTCGTAGTGCGCTCTTTTACGGCACCGTTCAACATTCGCTTTCGTGACGGGATGGTGCCGTCTGAAGGGTCTGGGTCTGCATAGGGCATCTTGTCCTGGGCAGCAGCGAGCTGGGACAGCTGGAACAACTGGGATTCCTGGCTCGACATGTGGCCGTTGTTGGGGTCGACTACCGTGTCTCTTTGGCTGGCAGACGGGCTGAAGACCTTGTCCGAGTTGATGGTAACGTTGGAATCTTGTGATGTGCCTTGGGAGGAGAGGGTCCATTGGTGAACGGGGCCGGATGCCCTCTGAAACGCGGCTTCAGACAGATGTTCTAGCGTGTGGCGGGCGTTGTCGGACAGGAAGGACGTTTGTGAGTTGGTGGGGGTAGAGTCGGGGACAGAGACGGATGCAGAAGGTTGTTCCCGGGCGAGATGAATGTGCGACGTGGCCGTCGCGTCAGAGGACACGTCGGACGCCATCTGAGCAGGATGGTCACCAGAGGGTGGGAGTTGGATATGTTTCCCGAGCCGAGTGCCGCCCCTGTGGTCGAGGAGTGGTGATATCGACGCAGGGCTCATACTTATCCGTTGCGCAAGAAATAAAGTGGTTGAATGTCGGTACGGAGAGAGATGGGGAGAAGGGGCAAGTCGTCTCGAATGTCGCACGGGAATGCTGCACGTAGTATCCAGAGGCAACGCGGTGAAGAAGGATTGACGCGGTTAGCGGATGCGAGATGCGGATATGACGTTGGCCAGCCCGAACTATGGTGCATGCGAGTATCGTCTAGCTAGGCTGATAGCAAGGACTGACGCGGCCAAAGCGATGGGGCGAATGAACGAGGTATTGTCGACGCCAATTGATCTAGAGCCAAGCGTGGCGGGATCCTTTGTTCGGGGGGCGAGACGACGCTGCGAATAGCAATACAAAAGCCCCGATAATTGCTATCCGGTGAAGATGATGGGGAGCAAAATGATATGTTAGAATTGGCAGAAGCGAGGGTCTTGGGTCGTCGACCTTGTAGTGAGGTTGAGGATGTTTGGCGATGGGTGGTGGGTGGTGGTGGGTGGTGGTGCTGGTGCTGGTGGGTGTTCGGGGTCCTGGGCTCCTCCTTGCAGTGCAAGTCGGTCAGTCACCACCGTCAGGCGCTCTGTCCCAACGCGGTCCTGCACCGCCCTTTCCACATCGAACGCGTTTTTTTTCTGCGCATGAACTGACAAATGCGGGCGGCAGCGCTGAAGATGTGGGTCCCAGTGCTGAAGGTACTCTGGAGGTACCCGCCTGGACAGTCGCACCCACCACTGGAGGCGGGGGACCTTGGCCTGTTTTAGTGGGGGGACCCGTGAGCCGTCCCGTTTCCCGTCCTAATAACTCCGTATACCTGCCCGAGCATCTCTGAACCCTTTTTAGTGTACAGTCACGGGCTGAGCTTACGAGGACACTTGGGCATCCGAAGACCCCCTGAAGAAATAGAGATGGAGATACGAAGTACCACATTGGTGGGAAGAAATGAGTGCACCGTCCTAGAGACACTCGCTTTGCCCTATTTCCATTGTAAATGAACGTCCTGTGCGTGTAGGATCATGTTTTGCGTCTAGAACCCTCGGTTAAGGTATTGCGTGTACACTTTGACACCGCCATACTTATTGGGTACACGCGGCATACTTTGTCCACAAATGCAGGTGACCCTGACGTGCTACTTCGATACCTTCCCTCCCGAGCAGTACTTATTAGGAAGTCATTTTCCCAACACTGCATTAAGAAATGGTACTGTTGAAAACCTCATTAAATAGCAGGTTAAATGATATCATCGCAGAATGCCGTAGAACATAGAGATACGTTCGCAGAACCATCAAGACATGGATCGTTTCCTGGTTTTCGACGCATGCACCCATCCATCCAAAGGCCGACTTTCGCTCGACAAAGGAACCGAGTCGTTGGCAAGTGTCTCGGGACGCACGAACCACCCAAGACACGAAGTCACGTGCGTAAGCCTGCCGTCTGCCGTTTCGCTCCTGTTTCCGTCGCTTCCATGTCTTGCTGTCTCTCCAATGTTCGTCGACTGCTTTCGTTGGGTGTTATATTATTTATTTTGTTTATTATTACCCGATACTGCCATGAAATAATGTCTTCGACTTCTGAACGATGGCGACTGAGCCTAACCTGGTTGAAGAGACGGGAATATACGGGATCGTGACACTGTGCCTCGAAATGCCTATACGAATACTGGTCAAGCCAGTGTGGATGGACACGCACTCAGTTCAGCTTCACGCATTGCGACTTGATTCTCCGCTTGCTATGTCTATGATGAGATATCACATAGGTACTCCGTATAGGCGTCTCTTCATAACATGCTCTCTTTATCCGCACGCTGGCTCGTCGGCAGTCGTCGAGAATCCATGCACCCCCCCGTCTAAAATCACGCCTTCGTTATCGTTGGTATCATCCTGGACCCGTCTCCATTTCGTCTTCCGATCCTTCCTCCCCTCGAGCTCTGTCCTTTTTCCTTTGGGCTCGTATACTGGCTTGATGAGATGACCGAGTAACGGATTGTGGCTAAACGCGCCACCGACGCCGCCGCCGCCGCCGCCGCCACCACCACCCCCAGACGGCCCTCGTAAGGACAAATCGTCAGCCGTGACCCCACCGATCCGGACTCCTCCCTCATCCTCGTCCGCATCCACCCCTTCATTCATCACGCCATCGTCTTCCGGCGTTGGGGGCCGCTCAACCGCGGCCATCTGCTTCACCACCCGGCCGCCGACTAAATCGATACTCACAATCTGCCGCCTCTTCTCATACTCGGGCCGGGCATTCCATTCCATCTCTCGCAGGACTTTCTGCTGTCGCTTCAGCTCCCGCGCCCTCTCCTCCGGCGTGGACCAGATACTGCCCCCCGTCCCGGCCATGGCGCCGGACACGTCGAAATCCGCCGCCTCGTCCCGCACCGTCGTACGCTGGGCGTTTTGCGCCTGGAAACCCAGCAGCTTGTCCCGGTGCGCCCTTGCCTGGGCTTCCGCCTCCGCATGGGAGGAGGAGTTGCCGGCTGCCGCGCCGGTGGCTCGGTGCTGGCCGAAAGGCGCGGGTTTCTTGCTAATCTCAGGCCGCCTACGCGCATCCCTGTCGGCCGCCATCTTCTCGCGGCCCATCTCGGCCCTCAGCTCCCTCACCATGGCCTGTACGTCGTCCGAGCTGAGGAGCGGCGCCCCGCAGTACGTGCAAGGCCCGAGGCCTTCCTTGAGACAGATCACCTTGCCGCAGGACAGGCAGTTTGGTGCAGCGGATTGGAGACCGTGGCGCGTCGCCACGCAGTTGCATCGCCTCGTCTTCACGTCGCCCTGCAGCGTGGGGTTGGTGGTCATCTCCAGCGTCCGGATCGCCGCGTCCAGGTCTTTCAGCGCTGTTGATGCTCCGGCCATCGGGAGACCCCCCGTGATGGTCACTTTTGTGTTTTCATTTCTCGACTTGGGTGTCGTTGACCGCGTTACCGGAGTGGATTTGGACTTGGTCTTTGTCGGTCCTTCCGAGATGAGGTAGCCTGCTGCCGTTCGCTGCTGTTGCTGTTGCTGTTGCGGTTGCGGTTGTGGTTGCGGCGGCGGTGTCGCGCTTGTCGGGGGTCCTTGTTGTACTCTGGGAGCTGCCTGGGCTGTCGTCTCGACCGCTGAACTCGGACGCTTCGGTATGTAATCCTCTTCCAGACCCTTCTTGCTATATGCCGTCCCTGGAGGCGGGGCTTGCGAACCTACTTGCCGGGCCGCCGGAGTATGCAGCGCCCCCTTCTTTTTCCTACTCTGGCCTCGTCTGGATTTGGGGGGAACCTCGACTTGTCGAGTACTGGTAGCGGCTGAACCAGAGGCGGGAGTAGGGTCGGGTTTTGGGTTGTGTCGGCGGGCATTGAAGGATGAAATGAACTCGATTGCTGCTGGAGAATCGCCGAGGAGGTTGCCAAAGTGTGCGGCTGCTTCTTCCTTGGACAATGTCGAGGCATAATCAACCACTTGTTGCAACTCCTCCTCCGGAAGTGGGAGGAGATGGGCAAGTTGTGATAATGACATGGCTGGCTGTTCGCTACCTAGGTAGTCTGAGTATGACGAACCGAGTGGCGTAATAGGATATGTAGGCGAAGGATAGAAAAAGGAGGAAATGGAAGAGGGGGTCCCCAAGTTTAACAACGATGCCGTGTATTTCAACAAGTTGGCATCCTTTGTTCTTCTTGTCGACAAGGGAAGTACCGAGTAAAAGCCTGGGATTTCTAACCTAAGGTAGTGGGGAGGTTCATGGCTAAAGCTCTTTGAGGTCGCGCCACATGACGAACCCCCTGTTTCCCCTGTTTAACTGGCTCATTCGGTAAAAGTGTGGCTTGATACTTCTTATGTGGCTGGTGGCTGTCCGATATTTGTCCGAATACTACCGAGCCTATGCGCTTATTAGAGAACAGCGTCCGGATGTTCCGTGTTTCCATCGTATTCGAAGTACTTTGTACGGAGTACGGGGTACGGGGTACGCTGGTTGCTGAGGCGCTCCACACTCCGTACTCCGTACCTAGGTACGAGTGAAGACCCGGCTGCATGATTGGGCTGCCTGGTTAATGGACCAGTTAAACAACGAATGACAACCCGGCTCGCATTCAGCCCCGGGGACAGATCCTCAACAAGTCAACTTTCCACTTGTCCATCTATCCTTTTCCTCTTTTCTTTTTTTCAATTTTTCGGTTTTTTTTTTTTTTTGCTCACTCCCCGGCAAACCATTCCACCTCCTGTCATTTCCCCTTCCTCGCCCATGCTCGCGTCTTCACCCCATCGACAGTTTGCTTTTATTTCTTAGAAGCCTCGACAGTCAAGATGTTCGCTCCTCGGATCCAGCGCCGTATGTTCTCGGCTTCCACCAGGAACGTAAGTCTTCTCTCGCTTTACTCCTCTTTGCTCTTTTGGGCTTCTTGATCTGGGTACACCCCATTGGATTGAACCGAGATCTGACCTTACTCTTTCCCTGTAGCTTTCCAAGGTTACGGTCCTTGGTGCTGCTGGCGGCATTGGCCAGCCGCTCTCGCTCCTCCTGAAGATGAACCCTCGTGTTACCGAGCTGGCTCTCTACGATATCCGCGGCGGACCTGGTACGTTGAAGCAAATTCCTTTCCCATAGCATCCTCATCCCTCATCCCTCTGCCGTACCAAAGAATCCATTCTTTTGCCCTCGCTTCTTCCGTGACTTTTCCCTGACAACCCTTCTAGGCGTCGCTGCCGACATCTCCCACGTCAACACCAAGTCTACCGTCAAGGGCTATAATCCCACCCCCACCGGCCTGGCCCAGGCCCTCAAGGGCTCGGACATCATCCTGATCCCCGCCGGCGTCCCCCGCAAGCCTGGCATGACCCGTGACGACCTCTTCAACACCAACGCCTCTATCGTGCGCGACCTCGCCAAGGCCGCCGCCGAGGCCGCCCCGGAGGCCAACCTCCTCATCATTGCCAACCCCGTCAACTCCACCGTCCCCATCTGCGCTGAGGTCTACAAGGCCCGCGGCGTCTACAACCCCAAGCGCCTCTTCGGCGTCACCACCCTCGACGTCGTCCGCGCCTCGCGCTTCGTCTCCGAGATCAAGGGCACCGACCCCAAGGACGAGGAGATCACCGTCGTCGGCGGCCACTCCGGCGTCACCATCGTGCCGCTCTTCAGCCAGTCCAAGCACCCGGACCTCTCCGCCAACGCCGAGCTCGTCAACCGCGTCCAGTTCGGCGGCGACGAGGTCGTCAAGGCCAAGGACGGCGCCGGCTCCGCCACCCTCTCCATGGCCATGGCCGGCGCCCGCATGGCCGACTCGCTCCTCCGCGCCTCCCAGGGCGAGAAGGGCGTCGTCGAGCCCACCTTCGTCGACTCGCCCCTCTACAAGGACCAGGGCATCGACTTCTTCTCGTCCCGCGTCGAGCTCGGCCCCAACGGCGTCGAGAAGATCCTCCCTGTCGGCGAGGTGGACGCCCACGAGCAGAAGCTCCTCGAGGCCTGCTTCGGCGACCTCAAGAAGAACATTGAGAAGGGTGTCGCTTTCGTCGCTGCCAACCCCCCCATGTAAAAAAAAGAAGAAGAAAAAATCATTCAGTCGGCGTTAGTTAGCGGCTTGTGTCGTTCCACGCTGCGTGAGGGCTCTGGGACCCGACTGACTCTACCGGGCCTTGGCATTCCAAGAGCTGGATGATGGGCCGATGGGGGGGTCAGTCGATGGTAATGGGATTGAGGCGTCTGAAGAGATTTAACTGCTTTAATTTCCTGCTGGCCCTCATGTTGGTACCGACTCTTTTGAGCTTCTCCCACTGTATAATAATACTGCTCCAAATACACGACGAAATTCCCTCTTGCTATGTTCTTCGCTTTTTCATCGTATCTGCTCCCCTTTCGTCCCTTGTTCTTCCAAATCTTCGACCTGTGACCACGTCCCCAAGTCTGTTGCTACCTTAGCCACTGAACGATACAACGATGCCGTGGATTTGGTCACGCCAGGGGACATCGACAGGAAATTAAAAAAACGGAGGTAATTTATGTCAAATCTATCTCTCTAACATGTTTACCAGTGACATCTATCATACACCCCAGAAAAACAAAGGCAGCCCTAAAGGCCCTCTACCGCCCTGGCTGACCCCCCTGCCGCAAGGCCTGTAATTGCTGCTTCCTTGCCTCGATCTTCCGCTCCAGCTCCTCGATCTTCTCGGCTTCCTTCCGATCCTCCTCCTCAGCAAGCCTCCTCGCCTCCTCCTCCTTCCGGGCCTTCTCCCGCTCAAGCTGGTCGGCCCGGCGGAGGGCGATATCTCTTGGCCGGAAGTCGGAGAAGAGCCATTTGAGAACAACCTCGATGGCCCAGCACGCCGCATAGTCCAAGAGCATGACCGTCGTCATGGTCGTCTTGAACTCGGCGGTGAAGGGCACCAGCTTCATCTGCTGGTTGATCTCGGGCACGAGCTCCATCGAGCACGAGAACGCGAGGGCCGTCACGCCGACGATGCCGTAGAACATGCCGCGGTTCTCCGAGAGCGACTCGCGGAACGGGCGGCCCTGGTAGTTGATCGCGAAGGTGCTGATCTGCTGGATGAGCTGGAGGAGGTAGACGGCGCTGTTGAGGAGGCTGGGAGAGAACTCGGCCTCCAGGTCGACATCATCCGAGCGACTGTGGGGAATGTCATGTCAGCAAATCGGTATTCCAAAGAAGAAGAAAAAGAAACGCCCGCCACCATGGGTAAAGGGCTACACATACGGCGCAAGACGGTCGCAGAACCTGGCGACGTAAATCAGGGTCCCGACGTGAACGGCAAACTGGCCAAGAATGGAGCCAATAATGTAAAAGTTGAAAATGTGAGGCTGCGGTCGCTCCTTGGAAAGGCCCTCGACGACGCGAGCGCGAGACAGCGACAGGAAACAAACGCTCATCAGAACGCCACTGATGGTGTACTGGCCGTCGCCGAACTTGATGCCCTCGAGGTACAGGACGCTGAGGCTGTAGGCGGAAATCAGGCAGTTCAGAGCCAGGATCTTGTACATCTGGATGGTGGCAACCAACGTGCACCGTCCCTGGCGGATGATGTTTGGCACGGCGATGACGTTGCGGAGCTTGCTCGTGAAAGGCGCCGCCACGGATGCGTCGCCGAGCTTCAGGGTCGGGGGCTCGTTGTCGTCGGCAAGCTCGCTTTCCAGCATAGAGGTCGTCATCTTGTCGGCGAGCGAAGAGGCGTTCTTCTGGGCCTGGGCGAGTCGTCTCGCGTCCCTGGGGTCCTGGTTCAGAAGCTGCTGCGCGCCGGGCGACGTGACGGTCTCCATGTCGTGGCCTAGCGATTTGGCGTATTGCTCGGGAGTGACGTTCTTCTTCTTTGCCTCGCGTTCGATGGCCTTCTGGTAATGGGGGTTGTTAGGCGCAGGCGGGAAGAGATGGGCGATCATGACGGGCACAGGAGGCGCTGGCTGGTTGAAGCGAGCCATCAGATCGACCTGCTTTTGGTATACTTCCTTCATCTTCGTGTTCCGGGAGTGTTCCGCAATGCGGACAAGATCCTCCTGGGTTCCGTTGAGAAGAGCAACACCGATATGGGCTTGCTTGAGCGCGCCGACGTCGTTGGTTCCGTCACCGGCCATCAAAGTGTAGTAGCCCATGTCCTTGAGTCCGAGCAGGATGTCTTCCTTCTGCTTCGGCGACACACGGGCGTAGACCCAGGTGTGTCGAAGTAGCGAGTTCCATGCGGGTTGGCCCTTGAACTTGGCCAGGGCGTAACCGGTCACGCAGAGATCCTTGGACTTGATAATCTCCGGGTCGATAGGCTTGGACGGATCCACGGGAATGTTGACTTGGTCGTCGACGCTACGCCAGACAAGCTGATGTGCGGCATCGGCGTCTTCCGGAGCGTCGAGAATCAACACGTCGCGATCCACAATCTCGACATCGCGCGCCACATACACGGCGGTGAGGGGGTTGTCTCCAGTGATCATGACAACGCGATGGCTGCTTTCGTTGAGCATTTGGACCGCCTGTTTAGCGTCTTCCTTGAGGGGACAGGAGAGGATGAGGAAACCAGCAAAGGTCAAGTCGGCCTCTACCTTTTCCCGCTTCAGGTCGTTGATTCTGGACGCCGCAAGTTCACCATCCGTGGTGAGCTGCTTGTAGGCCAGCGCAAGAACACGGGATCCGCGGCGGGTGAAGAACTTGTAGGTCTCCTCGTAGTTCGCCGGCACAGTGGCAAGCATCTTCATGATGGTCTCGGGTGCTCCCTTGACACCGGCAAAGGTGCCACGGAGCTTCTTCCCGGTCCTGTCCAAGCCGTTGACGGTCGCAACAGAGCTCTGTCGTTTCAAGGCGGAGGAGAATTGGAAGCGACGCTTGACCTGAACGGTGCCATCAATTCCCGTGGCAGCCACCGTAGCGGGCTTGGCCCTAAGCGTATCATTGTTCCCGAGCATCCACCCCAGGGAGGCCAGGGTAGCCTTCTCCATGGGATCGCCGACAATTTCGCCGTCGTCCAGTTTCACGAGAGCATGGGCCGATGCCAGCACCAAAGTGGTCTCGAGGCCGATCTGTTTGACAGGTGTCAGGTGGGAATGGGCGCCATCGGATTCCCGAGGGGTATCGGTTCCCGAGTGGCCCAGACCTAGACCGGCAATGCCCTCGACAACCAGATCCTCGCCGGTCAGGGTGCCCGTCTTGTCGAAGCAGGCGACGTCGATGCGCCCGGCAAAGGGAATGCGGAACGGTTCAGTGCAGAAAATGGCCAGTTTCGCCAGAGCGGCCAGACTAGTGTTGACGGCCAGACTCAGCTCCATGGGCAGTTCGGGCGGCACGACGCTCGTGACGATCAAAATGCAGTCGAGGAGGAGCTTGGAGCGCTTGCGGTCTTTCCGGACACCCTCGTCCCAGACGTACCACGAGGCGGCGATGGCAAAGATGAGGAGGAAGAGAATGAAGAAAAGAGCCTCGGCATTGCCGGCAGAGACACGTTCGGTCGAGTAGATCATGGTCCGGACGAGGCTCCCCTGGGATGTCTCGAAGCCGGTCTTGTGAACAATGGCCATGGCGCCGTTGTCGGGAGGAGGAGGAACCCCGGAAGCCAGCTTGGGCTTAGGCTCGTCCGGGTTACCGTGCGTGACCTGGAGGACCTTGGTGCCGCCCCAGAGGAAGGCGTTCTTGTCCAGGCCCTCGGGCTCTATGGGGGTATCTGCGGGGCGCAGCTGGATAGATTCCTTCAAGAGCGGGGTGCTCTCTCCCGACAGCATGGCTTCGTTGACAATGGCCGTACCCTCGACGAGCAGCATGTCGCAGGCAACGCCACTGTCCTCCTTTGTGCGTCCGACTGAGACGAGATCGCCGGGCAGAAGCTTGTCGCTCATGATTTCGGTCCATTTCCCAGCGCGATAGGCATAGATCTCATAGGGCTTGATGCTCATGCTGCGGAATTCGTTGAGGGTGCGCTGGCGTTGCCAAACGACGGTGCTCTCAAAGGTGACGAGCATGAAGAGGGTGAAGAGAGAGTAGTACCAGTACTCGTCAAGCATCCAAAGACCGACACAGAACACTTGGAAGACAAAGAAGGGGGCAACAGCATGTTCCTTGAAGAGCTCGGTGAAGGTGGGCACGGGAATATCGAAGGTGTTCGTGCCATAATGTTCTTCCAGCCTGGTCGCTTCAGCCTGGGTGGTCAGGCCCTTGGACTTTTGGTATTTGCCAATGTTGGGTTTCGGCTCGGCATCGATGTCGTAGGTAAGTGTGCGGAAACACTGATCTGCCGGGTCGTACAGAAAGCGTCTCTTCTGGAAAAGGAACGAGATGTTTGTCTTGCCGCCAACCTAGAAAGAGAAAGAGACCTCGAAGTGTCAGTGTCATGGTCATTGCGGCCCTGGTCACATCAGACAGGTCGTGGGGTGGCGTAACGAAATACAGAGAGGGGACGGAGGGCAGTTTGGAGGGGAAGGGGCTCCAACACGGACCTGGTCGCGGATGATTTCACAAACATCGGCAGTCCCCGCGTTAGCGATAGGCACAACCTTGATCAGCTCGGCGTCTTGGATGGATTTGGCTCGCGAAGCTGTGAAGAGGGTCTGAAGGTTGACGCTCCAGTGGGTGCACAACCAAGCGAGGGTTTGAAGCGTGACGATGGAGGCGATCCAGACGAAAGTCCATTCTTCGGAAGAGATGTGTTTCTCGTACAGCTCGGCCGTCAGATAGTAACGTAGGAAGACGGGCCAGATAATGGCGAAAGGCCACACGTAGGTGTGGAGGTAGAGGGGCAAGGGCTTCCAAAGCTCGGCGGCCTTGACCTGGGGGTTATCGACGAGGGGCGCCATGACCGGCGAGACCCTAGTGGAGAGGGCAGAGACAGGCAGGCAGGAGAGCAGGAGAGCAGCAGAGCAGCAGAGGGATGGAAAGTGGGAATAGGAGGAATAGGAAAAGAAAGAGAGAAATGGAATCAGCGGACGTTGAGCTGAGGCAAGTCGCCACTCATTGGGAAAGGCCAGACGCGCAGGGATGGGTGCGTTTGATGTCCTCTCCTCGTCCAGATATGTGTTCTGGAGGGGGACGTAATGGTAGGTCTGAGGTCTGCAGAACGGAGATGAAAGCCGTCCAGTTGGTGATGTGTCCAAGTGTCTTCGTATTACTTCTGGGTTTTTCCACCCCCGATTGCAGTTGAAAATCCAATGACGGGCCAATGCGAAATCCATTGTGATTACGTATATGGATGTACCTACCCGGCTTAGGTAATGCTGTGGGGACTCGGGGCTAAGGTATCCATTTAGTATTTCAACTTGGTAATAAGTATACGCACTGATTGCGATCTCATCTCATTTAACTCCCAGGCTTGGCTTAAGCCACCGTGGGGCGGTGTTGCCACGCCCGACCTGTTAACGGCTTCACCTGGGATACCTAGGTACCTACACTACGAAGGACCGACACACCGAACTTTACCATCAAAAGACTCAAAAATTCGCTTTCTACGCCCGTTCCATCATATGAGGCAAAAAATGAATAGCAAAATCATCCACCTTAACGGTCGGAGGAGAAATAAACCCGGGACAAATTCCAGCGCGATATCTAGACGCAAAGGGACGCAGCGCCGGCAATGTACAGGAACTCGAAGTCCTGTCGAAAGGTCATGTAGTGTAGATATGAATAATGATCATGATATGTCGCTCTTCATGTCCACGCCTCGGAGACACTTGTCGCGCACAGTCAAGTGATGATCGCCACTTGGCGACAGTATACAACATCCCCCGACGGACGGCGGACAGCGGACGGCGGACAGCGGACGGAAATATAAACACGAAACCCGCAAAAGGAACCAGACACAGGCCGATCGTCAGATCTTTATCAGTAAATCCCCGAGAAGGAAACCCCGACGAGGGTGGCGGCGACGACCATGGCAAGCGGCGCGCGCCACGGCACAGCGGCGCTTTGCGGGTCAACGCCCGTAGTATCCAAGCCCAAGTACCAAGCGCCCACGTCGGTCAGGTCTCCGGCGTTGTTCAGAAAGGGGGCGTTGGGGCCGACGTTGCTCTCGGCCGACCGGAAGGCGCCGAAGTAGGAGTAGCCGCCGATTTCATCGAGACGGTCCATGTACTCGAGGGACATGTTGAAGAATTGCTGGGTTGGTTCCAGTTCTTGGTGGGCGTAGGCGTATTCGGTAACCCAGATGGAGGTGTTGGGGAAGCTGCAGTAGGCGTGCGTGATGAGCATGGGGGAGAGCTTAGGGTAGTAGAAATGTAGAAAGAGAGGGCGAAAGGGGAGATTGAAACGTACTGAAATACCCGTTCGCCGATATGACTGGCAAAGCCTTCAAAATTATCATACCAATGCACAGGAAGGAAGTCGTAGGTGCAATTGGTCCGGCTGTTGCCAGAGCTAACGAGTTCGGAGCAGTGGTCGAGGAATTCGTGCAACCAGACGAGACCGGCGGGGGCGCCCGTCATGGCGGGCAGGCCGACCTGGATGCCCATCTCCTGCAGCGGCACGAAATTGGCGACCCAGGCGCGCGCGGCGTCGCGGGGGGGGATGCCGCTGCCGCCCGAGTGGTCGATGTCGGGCTCGTTGAAGCCCATGACGCGCGTGATGTTCCTGCCGTCCTCGATGAGGCGCGCCACGCGGTCGCGGAACGAGGTGTCCTGGAGGTTGTCGCGGTCGACGCCCCACATCATGGGGATGAACTCGAACTCCTCCTGCGAGAGGTCGGCGAAGGCCGGGCTCGGGTCGACGCCATAGTTGTAGTACCAGGACAGCTGGGACCCGGACTGCGTCCAGACCTGGTTGTCCTCCGGGTAGTCTGCGTTGGGCGTGAAGCAGAGGCCGCGCTTGGGATTGCGCTGGGCGGTGACGGCGAGGGGGAAAAGAAGGGACGACGTCGCGACGAGGCGAAGGATCTGGGCGGGGAGAAGCATAATACAATAATAGTAATAATAATAATAATATGTACAATAAATAAATAAATAAATGCCAGGTAGGAATTTAGCGGGTAAGACGTGAGACAAGGAGGGCCAAGGTCGAAAAAAATGAAAGTGTCCGTATTCCGTAACTAGATCCGGGGGACCCTCAGTGTGGGCGCGAATGGAGGCAAGTACGCAAGGCTGGCAACAAGAGAACGTCGGTAAACTCAAGGAGCGTGGAGTGCTATGCGAAAAAGATCAATTGAAGGAATTGAGGGTGAGGCGACGGACGAGGAGGATGGGAGGGGAGGTAGGGGGAAGGGAAGAGGAGAAAGCGAAAGAGAGAGACCAGGGCAGGGAGAAGCCACCGACACAATAGTATGGAGCATTCGAAGCAGCACAGGTAAAGAGGCAGGCGGAAGCGAAGAAATGCGCGACGGGAGACTCGAGCTCTCGGCGATGGGGTTCTCCATGCGAATACGCGTACGACGTTGGTGCCGAGCCCTGGGCTAGTCTCTGTGGTGCATGGACAAGGCGGACCATTGGTTTTTCGGCTTGGAAAAGAGCTTCTTGGCCTCGTATACTGTACGTCCGTAGTGCAGCAGGCCCTCCTGAGTAAGCTTGTACCGTACCTACGTAAGGTGCCTCAGTTCCTACCTACCTTAGGTAGTGAGCTCAGTTACGGCAAAAGTACCTAGGCACTTCAAACGTCCAGGTTATTATATCCCCTATAGACGAGCATTTACCAGAGGCACAGTTAGCTATAGTTACTTTACTTGCATAGTAATGGTTAAGCTAAGGTATAGTATCGCGGTCCAGAAGTCAAGTACCTGATAGTTAAGTCGGACCTTTGGATTAGCAGAATAATAAGGGATTCAATGGGGAGACCTCACGTTTCAATATCGAGACCTCACACGTGACATTCTAGTGGGGCCATGACGCCACCGCCAAGATGCATATGTACCGCACCTATTTTGTATGTACACATTATGTAAATAATCGTAGGTAACATAGTAACCAACTCAATCTCAACACTCAATCCCAATACTCAAATCTTAATACTTATCTCGAAGCCGTAGGCGGTTATTTTATATAGGATATCGTGTAGGATATCGTGACTTATTATTATGGTGTTTTAGGCGGTTAGATTCAGAGTTACGGTGTGGGAAGTGATACGTTAAGGTTTACGATGTCGCCTGCGATTTTCTACATAAAGTGTACATACAAAATAGGTGCGGTACATATATATCTTAGCGGCGGGTTCATAGCCCCTGTAAAATGTCACGTTTGAGGTCTCGATATTGAAACGTGAGGTCTCCCCATTGAGTCCCAATAATAATAGGTCGTTTTCTCCTTTTCTTAAACAAACAAAGTAAAGATAGAAATCCGCCTCCCTTACATAAGCTACTCTTTTGGGAACCTGTCGTGGTACCTACAGGTACCTCATGTCACCAGTACATCGGTCCCTGCAGGCCATATCAGCAGAGATAAGGACATTGAGGTAAAGGTCGTGATTACCTTATATTGCACAGACCTTCCTCGGGGTGGAATAACCTAATGGCCGAGTACCTCTTTGGGCACAGAAGGTGGATATGCGTAGGATTGTCGGGCATTAATTTTGCCTCCTACAACCACACGTTTTACAACGTTTTTACGGCTTCAATTCAATTGATTTGGAACCTCTCAACCTGACCGTTCCTATCGTACCTATCCTTGTACGGTTACGCTGTATTCGACACTTACCACCCTACCTTACCTCAGGGTATAAGGACCTTCATTCAACCTTCGCCATTCATCCTCGATCCTAGCTCAACAACTCCACGTCCATGATCCGCATACGCCAATGACTCCATATGCCGTATGACTTTCAGTCAAGTCACAAGCATAATCGCCCTTTTCAATCACTTCCTTTGTTCTTCATGCTCTCAGGCCTCTTCCACGTTCCACGTCCGCCGAGATGTCTTCTCAAAGAGTGTTCTCAAGCGTCTCCCTCGTATGGCGTAGGGGCTTTGTGAGCTGACGCAGTTGTCCGCTTTCGGCGAGGAACAAAGGCCTAATGGGATGGGTGGAATGTTCGGATTCCCCAAATCCCTTTCGGACCTTTCCTTTCTTCTCGTGCAGCTTCACTTCTTTGTCCATCCTTGCCCACCATCCTGGGGACGAGCAAGTCCACAAAAGATGTTCTATTCTTCGAACATGCACCGGACAAGCCTCGGACATATGCGTCTCAGCCACGGATCAGAAGAACTCAGGTTTCAGCAACCTGATATACCCGACATCATCCAAACCGAAGAAGATGGTCGGTTCAATGTTAGCTCCTCTCTTTTCCCTCTCATCTTCCCTGGTTTCGTTGCAGACGTCTTCAACGGCCTCGACTCCTAGCCGCACCCACCCGCTGCAACACTCCAGTTCTTCGTCTTCGGCTCTGCATAAGTTGCTGCTTTGTTTTCTTGCTCTCAGCACACCATGGACCCGATTCCCGACACCCACGTGTCGCACAAGATGACCGTGGACGAGGCTCGCCAGCTTCTCGGCATGAACAATAACGGCGTCCTCAACTGGTGTCCCAATGCCTTCCGAGCCGGCCCCTGGGATCCCGGCGTAGACAGCAATCATCCCTGGCAACACAAGGATGTAGAAGTCTTCCTCCGTCATCTTGGCTACGGCAGGCTGTATCCCATGCCCGAAATACTCGACGACGCCAAAGCCACCGCCGAGGGAGACCGCTGGCGCCGCGAAGTCTCCGACGCCTACGTCGAATACGGTCGAATGTTCCGCTTCGGGATGGATCGCATCCATCACGTTCTTAGCCAGGAGCATCTCCTGTCCGATGACGACCACGAAGCTGTCCTGCGCGAGGCTTGGACCTCCGTTTCCCAATCCGCCATGTACGCAGACCTCTTCGGCAGCTGCGCTATCTCGGAAGATTCCGCGCAGGGCTACCGCTTCTATCTCGAACAATACCGCGACTGCGAGCTGGTCCGCGATTTTGGTCCCGGCTCCAACGACATGAAGCTGACCCTGCCTCGCACCATCTTCGACATGAAGCCGGCCAAGGCCAAGGTCCAAGCTGACATCATAGCCCCGCAACGTCTGGCCCTGCAAGTCCCCGGCATCAACGTGAAGTCACTCTCACGCCGCGGCCTGCTCCTCATGTTCATGCTCAAACGCTACAACGCCACCCCCGCCTCCTTTGCCATCCCCGACTGGGAAGCCAACCATATCGGCCGGTCGTCCAGGTTGATCGTGGGCCCCTACTGCGACGCCCGCTTCATGGCCTTCCCCAGTCAGACCATGTCGTACGAGCAAAAGTACGGCGAACGCCTCAGAAGCGCCCTGAAAATACCCGATCTGAAGCCCTCCGACTGGCTCCATTGGGCCCACGGAAAGTATTGGCACGGCTGTGATATACAGAACCCCACCGCAGCGGAGGCGCTGTCTCCTGTTTTCAAGGACTTGCGCCAGCTGGGACGCATTTTCGGCTGGGGCGATGGCCTTTTGATTCTCCAGTCGCAGGGTCTCATCCTTCGCTACCTCCACGCCGTCGGCCGGTTGCTGCTGCAGAAACAGGCCGCGTCCGGTTCGTTCCCTACCGAAAGGATTGAGCCCTTGACCGAGGAAGAGTCTAAACACGATCCCCTCCTCATCGGCTATGAGCCTCCACCGGAAGACGTCTGGGACTCCGAAGACACCGTGCGTGTGGTCGATGTCGACGAGTACATCGTCAATATTCCCCTAGCACTGCCCGAGCTCGAATCCCGCACTGTTTTCCAGACCGTGGGCCACATCCCTGTCCACATGTCTAAGAAGGGTTCACCATGCGAAGCACTGGCTCGCGTTTTCGGCTCGCATCTGGAACAGATCACGGACAACCCTCTGATGCTCAAGCGCCTCGTCCGTGAACACTTCGGCTGCCACTACGGCCACGTACCTCAGCTGCGGACCAAGAGCAGCAAAGCCAAAAAGGGCAAATCGGGAGAGAAGAAGACTGTTCAGGGCCAACAAAAGACCCAGGAGGGTGGTCCAACAGGAGAGGACAACAATGACGACGACGACGACGACGACCGTGAGAGACAAGAACGCACGAAACGTCAGCTGCCACACCTCTACAGCACCGACCTAGCCGCCAAGTCGAGGCTCGTCGACGACGTGCTCAGACGATTCATCACGCTCCTCGTATACAGCGTGGAAATGCCCTGCGTACTAGTGGACCTGCGGGACATGGTGGAAAAGGAAGCAACCAAGCACGGTTTTCCATATGCAAAATGGGCGGATCCCCGTTCGACATTCCCGAAAAGTCTCCAGGATGCGATTGTGCGCTTCTTATTCCACGCTCGCTGGTTCCAGGACATGCTGCTCACGGCGCTCCTGTACCGGGGCTTCTTCCACGGGTCGTGGTCGGTCCGGGACTACTTCGAGCGGAGCCCTTCCAACGAGGCCCTGCGCGCCATGGTCACCGAGAGCAAGGAGAAGAGCCCGTGGGCGCTGCCCCGGGGACTCGCCCACTTTAACCGCCTGGGCCAGCTGGATTTCCGCATCGTCAAGGATGCCGAGGATCCCCTGGCCGCCGAGATGCATCGGAGCCTGGACATGGTGGCCAACGGGCACCTGCATCGCTTCATCCACCTGCACATCATCGTCGAGGAGTTCAGCCAGCACTGCTCCACGCTGTCGCGCCGGGATCTGGAGTCCAGCTACCGGTGCTACCCCGTCGCCAACATCACCATCTTGCTGAAGACGCTGACCCGGGCGACGCGGGAGTTCAACCTGATCATGCCGTTTCAGAAAGCCATTGATGAGATTCGAGCGGATCCCGTGAAGGTGCGGCGGATGCAGGAGAGCACCGGGTTTGGCCGGTTCGTCCTCCACCACGACGACTTTCCTTTTGAGCGCCACGTCGATCCGGCGGCTTGCCGGGACCTCAGGTGGTTGTTTGGCGTGCGCTACGCCAACGATCCGAAGACCTTTGTTACCGTCGAGGAGGCCAAATCTCGGATGGGGAACTTCTGGACGGGGATCCACAGCTGGGTGTCCGGCTTGGGCGAAAACTCGCCCCGCTACTTTGCCGCGTCGCTGGGCGAGGCGCTCAGCGGCCAGGTTCAGGAAGAAGAAACGGACGAAGATGACGAAAAGGAAACGGACGACGGCCGGGCCCAAAGCGGCGAAAAAGACAAGCAGGCGGAAAATGAGCAACCGGCCGAAAAAGACCAGCAAGGCCAAGGAGAGGCGGCAGAACCCAGCGGAGACGACGCCGTCCTCACCATAACCTCGGAAGGCTGCGGTCCCATCTCCACGCTGAATCCTCGATGGGTTGCGCTCGAGGAGCCCCAGGATACGTCCTCCGGCAAGGCGGCCACGTCTCCCACGGCGGCGAGGTCAGCCATGGAAGAAATCCTCGACGCCAACAAGAAGTGGATCCTCAACCGATACCGCGACACCACTCCGGCCCCCTTCGTCCTGGAGGGCGGCGTCGAAAAAGGGTTCGGGACGCAGGCGGGCGGAGCGAAATCCGGGACCAAGGGCTCCAAATTCGGCACGGAAGACTGGGAGACGATCGAGATGACGTTCGGCGGGCGCAAGGGCCAGATTCGCTGGCACGACTGGCTCCGGGTGACGACGGGGCTGGGGCTCGGGGTGGAGCCGATCGGCGGGTCGGCGTTCAAGTTCAGCTGGACGGCGAGCAGCCTCATCCCGAAGGAGAGGCTCGGGTCGACGAGCGTGGTGCTGCATAGCCAGCATGGCAAGGATACGGCGGTGTCGCTGCGGCCGACGAAGGTGAAGGAGTTTGTGAATGCGTTGGAGAGGTTTATGCACATTAACCTGCGCGTCATTACGCGGTTTTATGGGCCGAATCCGCTGCGGCAGGTCGCGACGCAGCAGCAGGGTAGTGCAGCTGGTGGTGATGCTGCGCAGGCGGGTCTGGCGATGGTGTGGGACTGGGACGATGAGGAGGAGGAGGAGGAGGAGGAGGACGATGAGGAGGAGGAGGAGGAATGGGAAGTGAGCGAGAGTGAGGCGTCGTCGAGTGATCTCTCCGAGGATGACCTGGCCGGGCATGTCCATGATGAACAGGACGTCGACGCTGAAAGCGATTCCGAAGTCGAGGTATCTCGGCCGGCGAAGAGAAACGTCGCTTCCGAACCCGAGGGTCGCCGACCTGTGAAGAAAGTCCGGTTCTCGTAGCCGCCAGAGGAAGCTTGGACTGGATTTGATGACGTTGGGGAGATGCGAGAGGCGGGTTATTGTGCCATTTATAAGATGGATTGCAAAGAAGATTGATATAGTTCCTGTTTAGATGAGCATCTGATGTTTCGACGGCGTCAATACAATATGAAGGTCTGTTTCCAAGCAAATGTCCGTCCACTCAGCTTTCATCGCAGAGTCAGTCATGTTAATTGTAAAATCCAAGCCTACCGTACCCTTCATGTTGCCATCATATGGTTCGTTGAAGACATTCAAAGTCAACCAAGCAACAGTTTGAACAGGCGGTGCAAGTAATGAAGATTGTATTATGTGATTATGAGGGCCTCTCCCCCTACCCGATAAAGAAAACACGAACAGAAAGAACCCAAAAGCCCAGACATGGTCGAAACCGAGCAAAGCAGTAGTGGAAGGGGGTATAGTGCTATATGCAAAACAAAACAACAAAAATCCAAGCGACAAACAGACGAGAAATCAAAACGAGAATCCATATTAGCCAAAAACCCACCATAGCCCGTCGTCCGTGTACCCTCAACTTTGTGTCTCCCGTCACTATTCATCCCAATTAGTATCCCGTAAAACATATTCTATCCGTGAAGAACACCAGCCGGTACCGAAACAAGGCCCCTGTATATATATACGTAGGAGAAAGTGGAAGGGAGTCTTCGCTGCCAGTTGAGTCGTCTCAACTCCGACTGGAGCAGTGAAAGCACAAAAAGAAGAAGAAAGAAAGAAAAAAAAAAGAAGAAAAGCGTCACCCAAGATCAAGATCAAAACAAGTTGGAAAGTCGAGTCCCGCATCGTAAAAGCACGGTATGGGGTACGGCTTCGAATGCCTGCCTTATAAGAACACCCCTCCGGTGTAGAAATGCGCCAGTACAAAGTACGGGGCAGCTGTGGTCGTGACCTCTTGAATTCTTGAGATGTACAGTAGCAAGGGGGTTCGACAATGCGGAGGAGACCTTGGCGGATCCAGACACGGCAAAAGTCGCACGGGAACGAGTCAAAGCAAAAGTGCCTGGATCGGTGGTGTGGGAGGGTCATGAATGACGGCGGTCTGGTGGAAGAGGGGAAAAGCAGACGCTGCCACACCATGGTAATTCGTGGACGCAAGGTCGGGAGAAGGCGATGTTGGCGGGCTGTTGGAAGGGACGGCGGCCGAAGAGCGGAATATCGGGCCCAAAACTTGCGGGATGGACGGCAAGTACCAAGCAGAGCCTAGTGACGTTCGTCCTTCAGTCTTCTGGGTTGAAAAGCTCCTCGTCTGTCCAAGATGTTGCCGGCCTTGCGATGAGGGACTGATGGACCGGTTGTCTGAGGAGGTGGTTTTTTGCTTCTTTTTTCCTTTTTTCTTTTTTTTTTGGTACCCTCCATGTCGAGATCACCCGATACCGCTCACCCCCTCCTCCCATGTCATCCACACCAACCCTAACCCACCAAGCCGCCCGGGGTTTGCGACGTTGCAGCCAGTCAGATGAGATCTGCACTGAGGGTGAAGGTGGGTGGGATGGCGGACTCGTGCCCGGAGAACACGAGGGGCCCGTAGGGGGACGGCGAACCGGATGCCGATGGGACGAAGCGTTGTCGTGTACACGTCTTCGTCTTTTTTGGCAAGATAAGAGATTTGGTTCCATAGTGTCCTGTTGAGCTGATCGGCGGTCGGGTTTGGGTGCTCTTCAAACAATAGCTGCTGAGGAGAGGGGGGTGAGAGAGAGTGGAGTGTGTGGGAGGGAGGATACCCCCGAGTACCCTCCCAAGTTACCCCCCGAGTACCCCCGAGTGACTCGAGGACGACGCCCGAACTGAAGACCCCACGGCCGATTACCGAATTTGGCCATAGTGGAGGTCTATGCTGAGTCCTGATTGGGCAGTCGCAGGACCGTGTAGAGGGCAGCTGACCACTGAGAGGACACCACCTTGGAGCGGTTAGCGCGCACAGACCACCCGACGCTCTCCCTCAAGGCAGGGGGGCAGGGCGACAGGGCGGCAGGGCCCTCAGCTCCCTATTCATCGGTGCGTGCTTCTTTTCCTCTTGCCTTCTTCGTGATCGCATTCCACTCTCCTGGTCGGCTGTGCCCGCTGCCGCTACAGCCTACGGCCGCTGCGCCCCGTCACCGTACCCGCCAGCCCCGTACAAGGGAGGGTGGGGGGGGGAGGCCCCATGGTGCGTGTGCGTATGATACGCCTCCGCGTATGACGTCGACGCGTGCATCGTCGGCATCGTCCCCGTGTCCCACCGCCCCCCCGTTGCTGTCGTGGTGGTGGCAGTGGTGGCGGCGGTGGTGGGCGTCGTCGTCTGCGTTTGGTGCTGGTGCTGAGGACCCAGGGGCGTCGCGCTGTGTGTTCCCGCCGTCCCGCCGTACGAGTGGTGAATTAGCGGCCCGTGCCGCGTGCTGTTGTTGTCGTTGCTGCTGTTGTTGCTATTGTTGTTGTTGTTGTACGTCGAGACGTCGGCCAGGGGCGCAGCTAGCCGGAGGGACGACTGGCGAGGCGAGGCGGATGTCATGGTTGGCGAGAGGACCCGCGCTGCTGCTGCTGCTGCTGCTGCGGTGGGGTACGTCGAGGTCGCGGGCCAGTGGTGGTGGGGGTTGCCGCTGAGAGACCGTAGCGAGGTGAGCCCGTCGTGCTGGTGATGGTGATGCGGGTGGTGCTGCTGCTGGGGCTGGTGATGCTGCATATGGGGATGCACCGCCGCGTAAGCATGGACGGGATCCGGAGTCGCCGCAGCCGGCGTCGGCAGCGTCGGATACGTGCTGACAGGCGCCGCCGGCGTCAACATCTGCGACGCCGCCGGGCTGGCGCTGTATTTGCCGATGATCTTCTTGAGCGCCGACTCGAGGATCTTCCAGGGGAACACCTTGACGTCCTTCTCGATGTTGCGCGGCTTGGGGTTCGGGAATGCCATGATGATCTTGAAAAACTCCTCCGACTCGGCCTTGGCCTTGCTGACCGTCTGCGGCCGGAACCCCTCCAGGTTGCGCCGGATGCGGTTCTTCTCCTCCACCGAGAACCGGTTGGGCGCCACCACGAGCTGCTCCAGCAGGTAGATCGTGTCCACCGACGTCACGTAGCACTCCTTCCGCTCCGCCCAGTAGATGCAGCTGATGCACACCGAGTTGGGCGGCCGCTCGTTCACGTTGACTGCGCGGAATGTCGCCGTCAGGTTCGACCCGGACTGCTTCTTGTTGAACATGACGATGCGGCGTCGGTTGGTCCACTCCTCCGGCGTCCAGTTCTTCGCCATGGTGTCCAGCTTGCCGACGAGGTTGAGCACCGCCTTGTTGGCGTACGAGCTGGAGCCCCATGACGGATACCCCGCGCCCTGGGTGCTGCTGCTCCCCGGGGAACTCTGGAGGGACGTCGTCCGCACCAGCGTCGGCGTGCTGGGCGTGGGCATGGGGAGGGGCGTCAGGCTGGGTCGGGAGATGGAGATGTGCGTGTGGTGCGTGTGGTGCGTGATGGGAGGTCCTGCTGTCCTGCCGTAGCCGGCCTGCCACGCGCCGCCGGCCGTTGGGGGGCGGAGGGGAGGTGGCGCCGCCGCCCGGGGGTAGTGGTGGTCCGCGAAGGAAGCCGTTCGATATGCGCTGAGCATGTTGCTGTTGTTGGTGCCGCTGCTGGTATCTTGGCCGAATGTGCTTCCGTACGGTGGAGGCGCAGGTTGTGACGGCGCGGTGGCAAAGTCGTATGTATTTGTAGACGGGTCGTAGCATCCCAGATGGGTGGTCACTGTCCCTGTCCTGGGGGAGGCTGCCTGTTGCGTTGGCTCAGGTGACTTGGAAGCTTTCCTCGTGATGTCGTCCGGAGGGGCACCGGGACCCCGACCCCCCACCGAAGGGTCCTGGTATAGAAAGTCGCCTGCTGCCGTCCGCGAGATCTCCTGCCCGTCGGGGCCCTCCAGCAGCACTGTTAGCGGCACGCTCTGGCTTTGGTATCCCGTGGTCAGGGGGTCCGGGGCCTCGCCCGTGAAAGTTATAGTGCACCCCGTGTGGTCACGGCTGCTTTTCACCGACTCCCCGGGCGCTTTATTCGTGCCGAAGACGAGATAGAAGTACGGCACCGGGCTGGTCATCGTGAGCAGGTCATCTTGCGAAGACAGCTTCACCACCACCTTTGTGCCTGCCAGGCCCGTGTTGGGATGGCATGACACGACACTCGGGCCCAGCGGCAGGTATTGTCCCAGGGCGCTGTTGGCAGCGAAAGCCTCTTGGTTCAGCTGGGCAGCGCTCAACTGTGTGCTGCCGTCGTGCTGTTCTGCGGAATAGGTTTGTGTAGGATACGGCGGGTAAGCAGCCTCCGGATAGTCACGAGTCGTGTCATACCCTGGAAAAATCGCTTTCAGTTCTGGCGATCTGTGCAAATGAGGGAAAATACATGTAAATAAAAGGAAAGGGGGAGCGAACATGGCATACCGTGAATTGGGCTAGGCTGTGGTTTCCCGTACTGGGACATGGGAAGGAGACCTTCTGGCGGAGAGGCACCGCGAAGGTCTCCGTTCGCCCTGGCCACTGCTTCTTCGTACTTGATAGCGATCGTTTCAGGCGAATCGAGCCCTTCTTCGCCGATGATAATTGGTCTTTGGGGGTGGTAATCAGGCTATGTGCTTTCGTCAGCGAGAGAAAAGCCACGGCTGTTTAACCTGTAGAAGACAGAACATGAAGGGATAAAACGGCCAGGATGACATTGGGGGGTACGAGGCCATGGACCATGGACAATGAATGCCTGGTTCCTTACCTCAAATGCCTTGTAAGAAGCACGCTCGTATTTCGATACAGCAGACATTCACGCTACTGGTGATAGGACCAACCTGGGGAAGGTAGTCCAAGATCGTGGGCCAAGGGGCTGCGAGTTAGACCGCCGTTTCGCGTGTAATGTTGCAGAAGGCGGCGTTGTGGAGCTGTCCGGCAAGACAGGGAGGCGGGGAGTGATATGGCGTCCGGTTTCAACGTGAGGAAGACTGTATCCCGAGTCAGTGATTGCTGACTCCCAGGAAGGGAGCACGTCTCCTGTGCCGTTGAGACGCAAAGACGCGTTGAAGTCACGCAGAACCACTGCTCATCCCCGGGAAAGGTAAGGTTTAAGACAACGTACTCGTCCTAGTTATCCGGAATGAAGTGGCCTATTGCCTGAGAAGCCTCGTTCACGCTAAGCAGGAGGAATGCGGAAGAGATGGCGAGGTATTATAGAGGCGGTCGTAGAGGTGAAGGAATCAACTCGTGCTTGCCCGAGGCTGGAGATGGTATGTTATGGCAATACGGACGGCCAATATTGTCCAAGAGTCCTGCGGATGAGATGGTTGACGGAGAAGCCCAGACAGAGTCAAGGCTCTTAAGCCGAACGAAAGTCCTTTGATCCGAGAACGGGCATCAGAGAGTTTAGTTCTCGAAGGGTATCATTGGTTAACTTGTCGAGCTGTGGCAATCCGAACAAATCTGAGAACGAAGAGGGCACACGACTACGCCCAGATTCCTGCGCGTCTTGCTGCTGGGCGAAATTTTCTTCTTTTACTGTGCTGTGGAATGTGTCAGTACAAGCAGGCATGAGCGAACATTCCAACAGAGAACTTGTGGAGCTGAAGGCTTCCCGGGTGGGGGAACCTCAACACGTTGACCAGGTTTTGTCTTGCTGGAAATCATTAAGCCGGGGGAAGGGCGTTCGCAGCTCGCACGGATGGATGGTTCCATGTGGGTGTCGTTTCGTTGAAAGAGGTTACGCACATACCCGTTCAGAGAGCCGGAGTTCCTCGTGGTTTGGGATCCAATCACAGAACCGACCAGACAAACGGTCACGATCCGGTTCGCAGTGTCCGGGAGAGTGGAGGCTGGAGGATTCGTTCGTCTGCACGTAGCCAACGAACCTGTTCGCACGAAAAGAGCTTGTCAGAAACAATCTTTTCCCCTCGAATGCCAGGACCCGTTGGTGATCCAGTAGTTCGCAGAGATATCGGGGGGCCGGGGAAAGGGGGGGGTCTTGGGAAAGCGAACAAGGCCAGAGTGAGAACGTCGGTAACAAAAAGAGATAGGTCAACAAAACGCCTGTGCTTGTTTGAGATAGATGGCTAGTGGCCAGGGAGGATTCAGGGAAGAAATAAGGGGGAAAACAAAAGAGAAGGGACTCGTGGGAACGTTTTGACTCTTGTTCCTGATTTTGTTTTGGGCTGCCACGGGGGGTAGAAAAGTAGAAATCGAGAAGAATGTTGATAAGAAGAGACAAGGGCAAGGTAGAGGGAGGCTGGAATCGAATTCCTTTTCTCCCTCCTTGTCTTCATAGAGGTAGGGCCGCGGTTTTCTTGACGTCTGGTGATTCAGATCATGTCATATCACCGATATGCCGAGAGGTCAAGTAAAGTAGGTCAAGGCAGGTCAAGTCGAGCATAAGATTTTCTTTTTTCTCTGCCGCACTGGCACTGGCATTACTTCCCGAGCGAAGCCAATAGCTGCTCCGGCGGCCGGAAATCTTAGCTCCCTTGCAGTAGCCCAACTTTTCTTTTTCTGCCCCCTCCCCCCCGTCGTTAGTTTGGGGGAAGGGTTGTCTTCTTTGGGGCTGGTCTGCTGCAGGTGACTCTTTGGGTAGATGGAGCCACCGGATGACATCAGTGGGGAAGGGGAACGGGGACTGGGGAGACGGGTGAGGGAGAAGGGGCAGTGAGTGGCTGGCAGGCAGGGATACGAAATGTTGTTGAGATGCAAGATTCCAGCAAAGTTACCCAGCAAAGTTACCCCTCGGATTTACATGTCTGTCTTAGACGGAAAATCTCCTAGGAAGAGATGCTCCCTAACATGCTCATGTGCCCCGCCGATTCAAGAGGTTACAGAGAGGGCCTTGCCGTCTTGGATCCAGAGGATAGATCCCAGATCGAACTTTTGATCGGTCCGGTAAACAGGAAAGACGGATGGTTGAGAGCGGGAGCTTTGCTGGGAGAGGGAAGACAGGACAATGATGGTATAGGAGGTAGTGATGCAGGGAGACTGGGGAGGAAATGATGCGGAGACGAGACCAGTGACAGGCCGATGGACAGAGGGAGAAAGGAAATGAAGGGAATAAGATGGGTTTCTTTTTTCCTTTTTTTAGGCCGAAAAAAATAAAATAAAAGGAAAATAAAGGAAAATAAAAGGAAAATAAAGGAAAATAAAGGAAAATAAAGGAAAATAAAGGAAAATAAAGGAAAATAAAGGAAAAACCAAAACAATAAAGAACGATATCTCAAGTGACTAAAGCCAACAGCAGGGAGAGAGACAGAAAACAGCAAGGAAAATCATAAAACTCACTCGACGGTAAGTCCTTGATGGATGATTTCGTGCTCTCACGACCATACGTACTTAGTAGAGATGGACCGGTGGGTGGTGTTAGTGGGTCACTGGAACTGGGCCTCAAGATGTTCTGGCGGCGAGGCGTGTGTATAAGGTAAAGCGATGAGGATGATGGCTGTCGAGAGGGGCGTTGATTTGGAGAAGGGCGAGGAGTGTCCGTAGCAGCCGTCTTGGAATTCCCGTTTCCTATGAACCACCCATTAGTCTGATTGGCCATAGATTCCTGGATACGCAACGCCTCGGTCCAATAAGAATGAGACGACTATTAGTGACTCGTGTGGTATGTGAGAGAGGTGAAAGGAAGTACGTATTCGTGCCGTGTAGGCGTATACTGGTGTATTCGTATGTATCGCTGGGGGAGCAGAGAGCAGCACAAGATGTGAATGTACCTTGCAGGTACAAGGTGCCAACAAGGTGCCAAGGGGTGTTCAGAGAAAGATATGTCGCCCGTCGCCCGTCACCAGAAAACCAAGTACTTCGTCTTCCGTATGTTGAAATTGTGATTTGAGTCAAAGTTGTTTCTCTGCTGCAAGTGAGTGCCGGCCGTCTGAACCCTTGCGAGCTTCCCGCTTGGAGGGGTTGAGAAACAGGACCCTCAAAGGAAGGAGGGCCGACGGGCGATGGGGTGAAACAGGCTGTAGGCAGTACCTTTTTGCTTGCTTTTTCTTTTCCTTTTTTTCTTCTTTTACTTCTTCCGTGTCTGGCGGTGGGAGCTGGGTCGGACAATGGACGAGATGGCTGTATATATGTACCGACTTCACTTCTGTGTAGATGTGGTATGCTGATGAAGAATGAAGGCGCTAGTAGAGAAACATGGAGCTGGATCTGGGGAAACGATAGGTAAAATAAAGAATTAGGAGCCAAATAATTTAAAACCACGGTCAAATCACAGAGATCTTTTGGGACGGGCAAGAACAGCAAGTGGTCGCAGATTTGAAATATAATCGCCCAGCCCTGAAAGCCAGAAAGCCAGGCGCGGTTGTACAAAATTCCACAGACGCACTGCGTCTGGGCTGGGCCAGGCTCCGAGGCGCATCTGCCAAATGACGATCTCGTCGTCGGCAGGACTGGGGTATGGGTATGGGTGAATGGTCGGAGGGGCCCAGATGGGAGATCTCGGGCGTAATTTTCGTTGCCCCCCCCCCCCCCCCCCCCCCCCCCCCCCCCCCTCCCTCTTTTTCCCTTTTTGTTTTTTAACCTCTCATACATATGCTATTGGGCCAGGGGCCCCCCTCCCTCAACGACTGCTTGCTGGATACTCAAGTCTTCCCTGTCGTCTGTAGTTGGTCAGCTGAGCTGCTGGTAGCGCAGGTGAGGCAACTGTGGCCCAGGGATGATCAGTGGATATCCCCCTCCCACTCCGGAATAGCGTGCCGGTGGGTGACTAGGGTGACCAGGGAGCCTGGATCACTATCGATCGGGTCAACTGTGGGCTGCATCCCGTCTGCCGGCCCCCCCCCTGCCGGCACTTCCAACACGACCGAAAATGGACTGTGGACACCACCATATACCATTGAAAGCCACTGCAGGACGCTTTTTATGCTCAACATGCCCTCAACAGGTTGGGAAGAAAAGGCTGGGGGGGGTTGACCAAGAGGCTCAGACGCTCAGGCGCTCAGATAATTACACTCTTCTCCCGAGTGCACGGCCCCAACTGCCGTGATCGACAAGAGCAGCTCAGGGGAGGTTGGCTTGGCCGGCGCGGTTCCGCCCAAGTCCCACCAAGTTTAGCATATCCCCGGCACGGCGACCTTGGGAGCATTAGTACGAAGTAGTTGACGGGAGGCACGTCAACGTCAAGACTCATCATACCGCTCCCCGCGTATAACCCGGTCTCTCGTACCTCGATCATAATAGAGGGACTAGAAGTTATTCCAGAGACTCGATCAGATCACCCCACGGCTTCCCTGCCGCTCATCGCGCAGCTTATCTATATTCTCCATTAGTAACTCCCCAGATAGGACTCGCACCATGTCATAACGGCAGCTGGCTCGCTGACACGGCATATCTAATACCCTAGGTAGTCACATAGTCACTAGACGGCAGGGGAAAGAAAATAGCAACAGAAACAATAACAAACCGAGTAGAGCCGGTGAAGGGGCCATGACACCAAAGGGGAGGTGACCATCGCTCACTCTGCACGTCGGCTTGCCGCCCGGATCAGTTTTACCTTGTGCCATGTGGTGTTTCTGGTCCTCTTACTGCCAGGCACGGACAAACTTGTCTCTCCCCGATACCAGACGTTGGTTAGTAGCTAGCTCGTCGGCCCGTCCCACGATTGCGTGGGGTATATGGCCACTATTACCATATAACAAGCAATGAATCATCCAGAAGAAACTCGTAGGAGGTAAGAAATTGGACCTGTTTCAGCGTCTCGCGGTATGTACGCGTCTTTGGTCTGACAAGCTCGAAAACCATAGAATAATAAGTGCACGGTATTTAAGCAGATATATATATACATGATACATCAGA